CGATGGAACATAGGAAGTTGATTTATAGCTGGGGGTGGGTGGGGCTGATGTAGTCTCACCACCACTGCCCAAGCAGACCCCTTCCCCCAAAAGATCCTACTAATTTTGCAGTAATGTCAAAAAAAGAAGTTGAAATTATATACAGCACTGGGGTTAGGTGGAGAAGTTTTTAAATCTGCCAAATCCAGTACCCTGATGGGAAGGCAAGTTCCTTGGTCATCAGACTGATCATCCATGGAGTGCAGAGGGGTCAGTATCCCTCCTCTTCAGCTGACCAAGTGAGGATGGAGGTTGTGTTCTGTGTGGTGTCTACCTTCATTCTTAGCCCAACCTACTGTTGCCATGTGGTCCCCAGAGTATTGGCTAAGGATAGATGCACCCTTAGGCCAAAAAGCTTAGCTATCCTTGTTTTATAATGAATCAGAGCAGTGGTCCATCTAGCTCAGTGCTGTCCACACTGATGGCAGTGGCTCTTCAGTTTACGATAGGGAATCTTTTCCTGCTCCACTATAGTAGATGCCCAGGACTGAAATTGGGACTTTCTAGGTGGTGCTGTGGGTTAAACCACAGAGCCTAGGATTTGCCAATCAGAAGGTTGGCAGTTCGAATCCCCACGATGGGGTGAGCTCCCGTTGCTTAGTCCCTGCTCCTGCCAACCTAGCAGTTCGAAAGCACGTCAAAGTGCAAGTAGATAAATAGGTACCGCTCTGGCAGGAAGGTAAATGGCGTTTCCGTGCGCTGCTCTGGTTCGCCAGAAGCGGCTTAGTCATGCTGGCCACATGACCTGGAAGCTGTATGCCGGCTCCCTCAGCCAATAAAATGAGATGAGCGCTGCAACCCGAGTCTGTCATGACTGGACCTAATGGTCAGGGGCCCCTTTACCCTTTACTACCATTGGGAAAGGGTTATGTGCTCTTTCTGTGCTAAGCTGCAAAGTCACTGGCTACTTCTGGAGGGGAGGGGGACACTTATAATACGTTGCAATTCTAGGACTAATTCTCAAAACCTCTACTTGTACTTCTTTGTAGGTGCACTGGAGAACAGTATCTCAAAAGCCAAGGGATCGAACCAACTGCATGGGGCCTGTGGCAGAACCATGTTGCACTTGCTTGCATGACCGTAACTTTCCTTACGATTTCATACATGAAGCTGCGTTTCATGAAAAAGTTCTCTTAAAAAGCAACAGCTTGGAAAACAGATCTATGATCCAGGCTGCCCTGGGGGTGTCATAAGTAGCAGAGCTAAAGGCATGACTATTCTCTTCTGCTGGCAGTCTTATTTCTTTCTTAGAACATATAATGGAGAAAAACATTGCCAAACGTCTGCATTTGTAGTGCACCAAAATATTCTCTTTCAGTATTGCTATACTTATTTAGTGGCACCTCCAACTGCAAGAGGGCAAATGCCTGAACAGTTATTTTCAACTAGCCTGATCCAATCAAGACTGACTTGTAAGCTCTGTAAATTTCAGTGGGAGAGAGTTCATCATGTGTTTAATTCTCCAACAGAAACCAATAGGATATAAAGTGTTTAAGTTTGGAAGGATGAATATTTATTAGAACTCAGAACAGTTTTTGAGAGGTTTGCCCTCACATTTTGAAGTGTGTAAAGGCAAACAGATTCAACTTAGGAAGAAACTTGGGTTTTTAAAATGAAGCCCTTTTCGTTCACAGGAATACAACTTCTGCTACTGCCTTGATAGCACTTTTAGTGTGTTTGGAGCATGTCACACAGATTAGCGTTACACCCATGAAACTTTCCTTATGTTCGGTGCATGAATGGAAGGAGGAAAGAACAGGATTGAAGTCTCACTCCCCCCCCAATCCCCTTTCTGGCCCTGTCCCCCTGGTGTCCATGCCCTTGGCATGGTGTTTGGAAAGGAGGCTGTCATGCATACTGTTGCACACAGACCCATACACAAAGACCTTCCTTTTCAGACACTGCACAAAACATTGACTTCGGGGTGGAGGACTTCATGCATTTATTGAATGTGGTGCTAGAGTGTCATGTGAAAACCAGTTAAGCCAGTATATCAGATACGCAAAGCAGCATATACTAGGATCTCAACAAGGTTTGCTTCATTTTATTTTTAAGAAAAGCAGCTTTGGGAGATGGGGTGAATGTGTGTAGAGATTAAGTGGGGCAGGGAGCTGGGAGAAAGGATGCTCCTTATTTTCATCACTGCAGGTTACGCCCCCCCCCCATGGCTTCCCATCCACAGTGTTTGGAATCAGTTTGCCCACTTTCATTTAAATCAGAATTCAAACTATTATTATTTCATTGCATGTAGTTTGTGAAATATCTTCTTTCTCTCCCCCCCCGCCCCAAATAGGAGCTAGTCAAGGAATTAGAATATCTCAAATTTAATTTAGAAATGCTTTTATTTAGGGCATCCTATGAATGGGAAAGTTTTGCATACGAATTATAACTAAATAGTTGAAAAATAACTGCTTATTATACACTTTATGAAAAGGATCGTGTTCCTTGAAGTGCAATAGGTTACAGATACCCAGTATTATGGTTAATGATTTTTTAAAAAAATGTTAAATATTTCCTTTCTGTTATGTAGCCTCTTTGTCCCATTCTGAGTTTAGGTTAGGGGGCAGAACCTCATGAGCTGAGTTGGACCCTGAATGGCTCACAGCTTTTATCACTTCAACTCACCCTCAATCTACTTTCATCTCTGCTGTGTGCTGATATTCTTACTGATGAGTGTGGGCCTTAGGGAACAAGGGCAGACTGTCATCTTACACTTGTACAGCATTTTGTTTCTGTAGGTACCCTGAAAATAAACAAACAAATAATATCAGATGCAGTGAATGTGTTTTGGCTTCAGCCTTTTCAGACACAGGACCCACCTTTTACACATACATGCGTTTGGGGACCCATTTTTTAATCTTAAACCATATATGGTGGTAAGTGCTCCTGTTGCGACCCACCTTGGATCAGGCTATGTATGACCCAGTAGCTGGTCCTGACCCACCAAATGAAGACCAGTGAATGAGTGCAAACTGCTGCTCCCTAAAACAGTGGTGCTGTAAGCTCTGGCCATTTGGGTGGAAGTTCAGGGCTTCCTACTCATCAAAATGAGCAAGAGTACTACCAAAAAGCACCAGGTTGGGTTTGCCACATTTTGAAGTACCATTTTAAAGAGCAGTCACCACCAAATAAGCCTGATTGTAGGTCTTGTTGTAGTGTTAGCTTCCAGGTGCTGACTGATTTTGTCCTTGGTTTAGTATAGCTAGGAAGATAGATATAGTAATAATAATAATAATAATAATAATAATAATAATAATAATAATAATAATAATTTATTTGTATCCCGCCATCTGGCTGGGTTTCCCCAACCACTCTGGGAGGCTTCCAATAAAGATTTAAAATACATTAAAATGTCACACATTAAAAACTTCCCTAAACAGGGCTGCCTTCAGATGTCTTCTAAATGTCAGGTAGTTGTTTATCTCTTTGACATCTGATGGGAGGGTGCTCCACAGGGCGGGCGCCACCACCGAGAAGGCCCTCTGCCTGGTTCCCTGTAGCTTAACGCTCTCTTTACGTATTGTGAGAGCAAACGGAACACATTTTAATTAACACTGCAGTAACATACCTAATCAACACTGCTGGATATAATATTCTTTTGATCTTTCCTCCTTTCAGATAAAATAAATAAACTCAATAAATAATAACTAATTGTGTTAATTGTGAAAAAGAAGAATACACGGGGGTGAGGCAGAGCTGGCACAAGCCATTTTGGTGCCTGAGGCAAACCACAAAAGGTTCCCCCACAGGTTCCCACCTCACGGGAGAAGAAAGGGTGAGTGAAGATCTAAACCAGAAACAAAGAAGGACGGAGAGGCAGTGGTGGTACAGTGGTTAGAGCATTGAACTTGGACCTGGGAGACGAAGGTTCGATGCCCCACTCAGCCTTGAAGCTGACCTTGAGGGCTAAGCCACTACCTCTCAGCCTACCCTGCCTCACAGGGTTGTTGTGGGGATTAAATGATGGGCAGGAGAACTAGGCAAGTCCCCTTGGAGCTGCATGGAGAAAAATGGTGGGGTATACATGCAGAAAACACAGTGGTACCTCGGGTTAAGAACTTAATTTGTTCTGGAGGTCCATTCTTAACCTGAAACTGTTCTTAACCTGAGGTACCACTTTAGCTAATGGGGCCTCCCGCTGCTGCCGCACCGCCGGAGCACGATTTCTGTTCTTATCCTGAAGCAAGGTTCTTAACCTGAAGCACTATTTCTGGGTTAGCGGAGTCTGTAACCTGAAGTGTCTGTAACCTGAAGCGTCTGTAACCCGAGGTACCACTGCTGCTTACTTTGGAATCAAGCGCTCTTTTAATTCTCCAGTGCCCAGCTGTCCAAAAGCTCCAGCTCCCCACGAGAAAACTCTCCCGTTGTTGCAAACGGCCAGTGAGTGCCCCTTCCCACAGCTCACGTGGACAATGGTTTGTGTTTCCAGGGCTTGGATTTGCTCTTTCAGAGATGGACACATAAAAAAGAATATTCTTTTGTATTGCCAAAGGGGTCATTGACATATTTAAACCGTCTAGAAAGGTAAATGGTGATGACTTGGGTTCATGAACTGCAACCTGAGGTACCACTGTAACAAGATCCTGCTGACCCTGGGGATCCTGTCGCCTCACCTTGTCCCATGGGGGCGGGGGCAGCCCACATAACCCAGAAACAGGAGCCCCCCTTGGCTACACCAGTGGGAGGGGCTGCCTCCCAATCAAATAAATCAATTTTAAAAAAAACCTTAATTGAGATTCTGCCCCCCCAACATGAAGCCTGCCCCCCCAACATAAATCCTAGCTTAGCCCCATCCATGACGTCTATTTTTTGGTGTCCCCCCCCCATTTTGCCGCCTCCCACCCTCGGGCCACACCCGCCGCCGCCGCCGCGCGGTGGAGGGAGGGCGAATGGGCCGCGATGGAACGTCCCCGGCGGAGCCGTTATTTCCTGGCTTGCGGTGAGATGGGGAAGGGAGAAGAAGAAGCCGGAGCGGGACCTCAGCGCGCGCGCTCTCTCTTTCTCCCGCCTTCACCTGCCGAGGCGCTCACCTGGGCCCCCTTCGGCCCGTCGGAGGGGAGGGACTGCTGCTAGCGCATGCGCGGCACTTCGCCCGCCCCGGCGCCTTCATGAATGGGTAACAAAACAAAACAGAAAGGGCCGGAGGGTGTGGCTGGAAAAGGTTTTGAAAAAGAGGGGAAGTGTGTGAGTTGAGGGGAGGCTGCCCTCTAGTAATCCCGTGGTTCTGAGGAGGGAAAGTGAATCTTCATGAGGGGTGGGGTTGGGGCTGGGTGGAATCCCTCAGGAAAACAGCAAAAGGGCGCTCTTCAAAATGGGTTGAATTTCCAAATCTCGTTCACCATCGCCATCACCACCACCACTTTTAATTTGTATACCGTCTTTCTATCTTACCATACCCTAGGCGGTTTACAAGCTGAAGAAACAAAGAATGTATACCTTATAACAATCTAATGCAATACAAAAACGTGACAATAAAACATAACTTTAAAATACGCAACCTACATCAAATAATATAGAATAATATTAAATAGCAGCATATAAAAATTAACAGAAATCCACTTAAATAGTACAATAGTTTCTAAACTACAATCGATAAAACAACGGCAAGCCACAGTGCATAAAAGAATACAATATAAATTGAGAAGCAGAGACTGGAGGGTGGGGCAAGGCAGGTTCAGTGGCTCTGAAATGCCTCTAGGCCTGATGATGGTGATGGGTATAATACCCTGCCCATCTCACTGTGTTGCCCCAGTCACTCTGGGCGGCTTTCCAACACATAAAAAACATAATGATGGGGCATACCCCTAAACATTTTGTGAATACAAAAAAATTCCTTCCAGTAGCACCTAAAGACCAACATTTTGTGAATGTTTTGCTTGGCCTCGTTGAGGGGCAGTATTTCAATATGAGTAGCAAAATGAGAGTATCCCTAAACATTTTTAAAGGGGAAAAAGCACTGAATAAAACATTCAGATGTTTTGGTTTTGGGATGCTACATGCACCCTGAATCCAGAACTTGGGGTCACTGGCGGAGGAATAGGAGTATGGGGGGGGGAGCGCACCACCCCTGGCAGTGTGATCCCAGCAGGGTGCCATCGCAGTTGCCGCCCCCCCCCCGCGCTGGGCACCACGCCCCCAAGATGCCCGCCACGCCCCTGCGGGCGGCTAGCCCCCCCTGCTCTCCGCCTCCCCCCTGGTGCTGGAGCATGAAGCTCCGCCACTGCTTGGGGTGGGTGGGCAGAAGAAGGGCTTTGGTGTTTGAAGAAAAAAAATAAGGGGGGGGGCATAAATTCTAACCATGGCCCTTCTCTGCTCGTTGTAGCTTTAAAAACTAAAACTAAGACCATTTATAAACTGGCGATGCATTAAAACTATAGTGGCAGTGTGCAATAAGATCATTTGCATGTAAGATGTTTCCTAAAAACACATGCTCACCTCAGAGGGAGAGACAATTATATATGTATGTATTTTCTCATAACTACGCCCCAAATAATTGTGCACTTAGGGTGATGCTGTCAAGGGTGTGCCTTTAGGAGGTGCTCTGTGGTGACTGGTTGCACAGGTCTTTTTCTGTTCTTATTTTGCATTTTTAATAGCTACAACTGGCTCGGGTTGTTTATTTTGTCAAAATGTTTCTATTCCAGAGTACATAAGTTGGCTAACAAAACACAAACAATTTAAGTTGCATTTGTTACTCCAAATCCCTGTCATTCTCTCTCTGTTAAATGCATGAGGGGAACACAGTTGCAAAATGGAAATGGCCCTCTCTATCAAAGGAAGCCAAACCCTGATAACCGGCGCCCTTGGAAATCCCCACAGCCCACGCAAATAGAGAGAGTGTAACAGAAAATTAGGGACACGGGTGGCGCTGTGGGTTAAAGCCTCAGTGCCTAGGACTTGCCGATCGAAAGGTCGGCGGTTCGAATCCCCGCGGCGGGGTGCGCTCCCGTCGTTCGGTCCCAGTGCCTGCCAACCTAGCAGTTCGAAAGCACCTTCGGGTGCAAGTAGATAAATAGGGACCGCTTACCAGCGGGAAGGTAAACGGCGTTCCGTGTGCTGCGCTGGCTCGCCAGATGCAGCTTGTCACGCTGGCCACGTGACCCGGAAGTGTCTGCGGACAGCGCTGGCTCCCGGCCTATAGAGTGAGATGAGCGCACAACCCTAGAGTCTGTCAAGACTGGCCCGTACGGGCAGGGGTACCTAACAGAAAATTAATTTAGAAAACTTGGATGCCCTGCCCTCATTTTGTTTCCCTTAAATTGCCTTCGTAAAATTTTTATTGCTGGTGGTGTTAGATTAGAATTGGGCTCACGATATACTTCTGCTACCTGTTGCTACTGGTTCCTCATTTGTTACAAACCTACAGTGACTTTTCTGATCACTCATTTGTTTATTGCCATCACCAGCATTTGCATCAAAAATCAGACAAATTGAAAAGCATGTAAGCATATGTGATGATGAAGATGGAAGTTTCCTACGGAAGAAGAAAATCAATTTTCTAGGACCCGGGTTTGCTGAAGGAAGCACAATGACCTTTCATCACATCAGCTACAGAGTGCATTTGAAGACTGGCCACTACGGCTTTCGAAAAGTGGTTAAAAAAGATATCTTGACGGATGTCAGGTATGCTTAATTGCCATCACTTACTTATTTTGGGGTGCAATTCCTGCTTGTACGGAGAGCAAGGTGTGGAGTGGCTTCACTGGAGGGGAAGTTGCTGCAGCTCATTGGTAGAGCAGCTGCTTTGCATGCAGAAGGTTTCAGATTCAATCCCTGGCATCTCCAGCTAGGTTGGGAAGGACTCCCCACCTGAAACCCTAGTGAGCTTCTACTACCAGTCAACATAGACAATACTGAGCAAATGGATCCACAGTATCATGTGGTATGAGGCAGCATTCTATGTTCCTTACCAGTCCTTTCCTGCTCCTGGTATTGTTTTACGTGCTTTCTACTCTGTAGCTGGAATACTCATTGTCAAGAGATGCCCTCCTGAACCCATCTCTCTATGTTACAGAGGCCAAGCTTGTTTCACCTAGAGGCAGTGCTTTTTTTCTTCTTCTAAAAAAATGTTTAGGGGTACTCTCATTTTCCTACTCATATTGAACTACTGCCCCTCAATTAGGCCAAACTTAGATTCACAAAATGTTTAGGGGTATGCGTACCCCTGTGTACCCCCTGGAAAAAAGCACTGCCTAGAGGGTTTCCCAAACTCGGGTCTGCAGCTGCTTTTGGACTACAACTTCCATTATCTCTAGCTAGGAACCTCTTAGGCCCCTCCATGAACAAAAGGATCCCATCCATTAAGAAGAGGGACAATCTGGATCTAACCCATATAGAGAAACTAAACCCAAACGTAAGATGATTATTTACAGCATGTAACCCATAATCTAGAAAAGGAATCTGTAGTCTACCAGATGTTGCTAAATTACAACTCCCATCATCCCTGACCGTTGGTCATGCTGGCTAAGGCTGATGAAAGTTGCAGGATATTTCCTGTTGTAGAACATGTTCTGCCTCTTGTAGACTGATATTTAAAGGGGTGGGGGGAAAGATGCTTAGTTTTCAAATTATGAAGAAAGTACTAGTTTTCAAACTACAGTGGTATCTCTGGATGCGAACCTGTCCACATCCTGAAGTGAACGTAACACGCGACTGTACGTCTGCGCATGCGTGGGTCGTGTTTTGCCGCTTCCACGCATGCGCGTGATGCCATTTTGAGCATCTGCGCATGCGCGAGTGGCGAAACCCAGAAGTAATGCATTCCGTTACTTCCGGGTCGCCATGGAGCACAACCCGAAAATGCTTAACCTGAAGCGTTTTCATCCCATGGTATGATTGTATGAAGAAAGAACTAGTTTATTTTTGTGCAAAAGTGAACAATTTTACCAAAGATGTCATTCTATTGGAATGGATTTACACATTAAACAACTGACTACTGACAAATTGCTTTTCGTTTACAGTGGTGTCATGAAACCTGGTCTCAACGCAATCTTAGGACCTACAGGCTGCGGCAAATCTTCGTAAGTGTTAACCTATGGGTAAATATCTGTTTTCTGATAATATTAAACATAACATTGTTACAGGTTTTTTTACATTCACAACCAGTAAGTGAGGTTCTGCAATGAACGTGCATATTTGATCAGAACGAAATGGCATCAGTCAAAACCAGAAAAGTGCAAGGTAAAAAGATTCAGCATGGTGTGCAGAAAATGGGTAAAAAGAAGTGTTTTTTCCTCCTCTTATAATACCATAACTTGGGTTATCCAACACGGCTGGATATTGGAAAATGCAAGGCAGACCAAAGGAAGATCTGCTGCACACAGATCTCTGGAATTTTCAACCACAGGGTGCATTGATGGTAACTCAACCTGGATAGCTTTAAAAGGGGATTAAGCAAATTCATAAAAAGATAATGCTAGACTAATAATGGAGATGGCAGGACTTTGAATACCAGTTGCAGGGGGACATGAATAGGGAGTGTGGTTGTGCTCATGTTTTGCTTGAGCACATCTGGTCGGCTAGCATGAAAAGAGGCACCAAATTGCCCCCAAGATTGAGGGGGCCTGATGCGTGATTCGCATGTGTGGCATCACATTGTCCGGAGGATGCTGAGCACTCTGGAAGAGCTGGCCACTGAAGCTGTGCTGCTCTCAGCTCCACAGTCAGCCTCCTCTGCCCCCTCAACATTAAGGGGGCCCAACTCCCTCCCAACAAGTATTGAGGGGGCAAAAGACACCTTGGCCTCCTAGAGTTAGCGTACCTGGCTAGACATGTTTTTGGTGTGATCCAGCAGGGCTCTTAGGTTCGTTAACAGTATGATCTTCAGATGTTGGCACAAGTAACTTTTCTTGAGTCCTTTTGGTTTTCCTTATAGGCTCCTGGACATTTTAGCTACAAGGAAAAATCCTAAAGGCCTGACAGGAGACATTTTGATCAATGGCTTCCCTTTGCCTCCAAATTTTAAATGCATTTCCGGATATGTAGTTCAGGTAAATAAAGTCTGTAGTGGATCTTTTATCGCGGTACATGTGTGATAGCTATTATTCTGTTTAGACAAACGATTTTTATGATACTTCATGTGTTGATTGTCTGCCAGTGCAATAGCAGGGTGCCAGTGCTATCAGTGTCTCCTTTTCTGTGCATGATTACTGTTAATCATGTAAATCCACTCACCTTCTCTGGTGGGCACCATTGCGTGCCAGCATTCCCCACCCACCCTGCCTGCTGGATCCCACCCACGGATCCCACCCATCTGCTCAATCAGAGAATCGTAAGTGGGCATGGGGGGTGAGCCACCAGGCAGCAGGCTCAGCCGCCCCTGGCATATAGCGGAGGCTGCAAAGCTAGAGTTTTCTCTTGCACTGGCTGTTTCCCAACTGATTTCATTCTAGCTTGTACCTGGACGTATGGAATGGACCATAGCTATTAGCCACCTGTCACCAATGCTCATTAAATAATCATCTTCTGAGCAGGCAACTTCAGCCAGGTCTGGTAATATCAACTGACCTTCAGTGCCCTTTAGCGATCAATCAATACATAAAACAAAAAATAGCATCCTCTTCTCTTGACACAGCACAGTAGCACTTTCTTTACTATGTAAATGCGTACAGTGGTACCTCGTTTTACGAACAGCCCTGTTAACAAACTATTCAGTTTAAGAACTTCGCAAAACCGGAAGTAGTTTTCCGGTTTGCAAACTTTACCTCGGTCTACAAACGGAAGCCAAATGGTGGAAGGGCACCGGTGGTGGGAGACCTCTTAGGGAAATTGCGCCTCAGTTTAAGAACGGAGTTGGTTTAAGAACGGACTTCAGGAACAGATTAAGTTTGTAAACCGAGGTACCACTGTACTAACAATTGTGCAGTAGTGATAAAACCTCGTATAATGTTCAACTGAAAACTTTTTTTAATCAATAAGGATGACATAGTGATGGGAACATTGACAGTCAGAGAAAATTTAGAGTTCTCAGCGGCCCTTCGGCTACCATTGTCTATGAGCAAAAAGGAAAAGCAAGAGAGAGTTGAAACTGTTCTCAAGGAACTGGATTTGTCTAAAGTTGCAGACTCCAAGGTATCTGTGTAGTGGCATTTAATACAACCAAACATTAATTGTTAATGTCAGAACTCGTGTTATAAATACTGGCAGATTATGCAGCCCTTCTGGCCATCTGCCACAGAGGCTTTAGTTGAGATTCCTGCATTGCAGGGGGCTGGACTAGATGACTCTCGGGACCCAACTCTACAATTCTGTGATTCTCCCTGCCTACCTCTGCAGGGAGTCTAAGTGCCCATTGTTTGCTACCCATTCCCACTTGATCGTGAGACTATCTCAGCCCCTTTCCTATGGGATGCTGGTAGCATGGAAGCTACTGCAGCACATCTCTCTTCTATGCCACTGGAGTAAGCTGGGCTGGGGAGAGAAGCCTCACCATTACACCATTGTGGAGATGGGAAGCCCCAGCCCTGGTGACCAAATGCAGCCCTACAGACCGCTCTTTCTGGTCTTTGGGGCTCTCCCAGGCCACACCCCCTCTTTGGACCACACACTCTCACCAGTCCTGCACCATGCCCTCCTCAAGTGCTAGAATGTGTCTTTGAACTATACTCATGCCTCTGGCTTGCCTGCCTGGATGGATGGAAGATAGAGAGGATGAGTGTGTATAGAAAACCTTAGGCTTTTGCTGGAAGGTAGCATAGAGTGCAAAGATAAAAGACCCAGAGTGGGTTACATTGAAATCAAACACATAATACCAAGGTTGGCTGGTCTATAACAGCAACTAGTTTCCCTACCCTCCCTCTGACCAGAGTTTGAGCAGCAGTGCGGAGAGAGAGAGAGAAAGAAAGAAAGAAAGAAAGGAAGGAAGGAAGGAAGGAAGGAAGGAAGGAAGGAAGGAAGGAAGAAAAGAAAGGAAGGAAGGGTTATGGGTTGAGTTCCAGAAAGACCTGTGGCTGGGAAATGGAGGTGTTATAAACAAGGGTGGACTTTGGTAAAATGGTGCCCTGAGTAAGGACAAAATTTGACACCCCCCTTGAATATTTCTTATTTTCACGCCACCTCCCTCTTGCCTTCTGTTCTGTGCATACTCTCAAGCGCACTATGTCATAGTTGTGGCATATTTTGTGCCCCCTTGGCTCAGAGCCCCAAGAGAGGAACTGCCCTAAAAAAGCTGCTGGTTGTAAGAGAGGTACCTGAAAGATAGGGGTGATGAAATCTTATGGGGGGGGGGGAGAGAGAGGTCCAGAGATTTTTCCTGTGTGCTAACTGAAACATTTTCATAGTTTTGAGGATCCTCGTTTTGAAACTTCATTTCCTGTACGTAGATTGGCACCCATTTTATCCGTGGAGTTTCCGGGGGAGAGAGGAAAAGAACCAGCATTGGATTAGAGCTCATTACGCACCCTACAGTATTGTTCTTAGATGAGCCGACAACTGGACTGGATGCCAGCACAGCCAATGCCGTCCTGCTTCTCTTAAAAAAGTAAATTGTGCTAGACTCTTGGAGACTGCACCTTATGGCTAATGATGTACTCTCTAGATTGAAGCAAGAGACAGACAGACGGGGGTGGGTGGGTGAAAACCTGTGCCATGGCTGGAATATTGACAGTCTGATGTTCCTTGGCTTGGTTTGTTTTTCAACAAGGCAATTATTTTTAAAGACAGCATTCCTTTTTTTGGTTTTTCGTCACAGCTTTTATATTCACTTTCTTATGCAATAGTTTCCCCCATGTCTCCAACTCTGGTGCGATCCCACAAGACAGCACTTATGTTATGGTTATGTTGTGAGTTGTGTGACATGCTAAGTGGATATGGGTAAATGAAGAGGGGTTGAGTTAGAAGACTATCAGTTTTGGTAAGAATTTTGCTTACAGTGCTGCTTAATGCAAGAGCCCAGTGTTGTTATCTAAAGTTATGTCCATTTGTGTTGTGAATGGTTTGGAACATTAAAACAACAGATAATTACAGTAGTTGACGGTCTTTCCTGTGTTGCATTCAGGATGGCGTTACAAGGGAGAACAATAATTTTCTCAATCCATCAGCCCCGGTACTCTATTTACAAATTGTTTGACAGCCTGACGCTACTTGCTGCTGGAAGACTTCTTTATCATGGCCCGTGTGACAATGCTCTTCCATACTTCAAAGGTCTTGGTGAGTTTTCATGTGGTATGTTAACTTTAGACCCAGAATTGAGCATGAGTCCTTTCAAATTCCTGGATCCAGACAACAGTTAAAATCTAATGGAGGATCCCATTGTTGAATTAGCCAAGCAGGGGCCATAATGACTGCTTACCCAGTTCAGGGGTGGGCAGCGGTTGCAGTTCATTATGTCCGGCTAGTGGGACCACAGTGGACCCTAAGTATGGGTCATTAGCTTTGTTGGCATCCATCTGTCTTGGGAGACAATGGAAGAGTGCAGAACGTGGAGAACTGAATTTAAGACTGAAAACATGAGAAACTGAGAGAACCGAAAGTGACAGTTCGTAATTGTACCTGTAATGTTTGTAAATGTACCTGTAAATGTTTTTTCATTAAAGCTGCCTCAGCTGCTGGCTATGTCAAAATAAACAATCTTTTATTCACAGGTTATTTGTGCGAACCATATAACAACCCTGCTGATTTTTTTCTGGACATCATTAATGAAGATTCAACTGCTGTTGGAATGAGTAAAATGACCATCATTACTATACGTATGTATTCTGAAAGTCTTCAGAGTTACCTTGATGAATCTGTGTGTATCAGCACCAAACCACTTCTCTCTGTGTGGTTTTTTTTTAAAGTACTTATCTATTTGGCCCTAAAATGTGATAGGAGGTTCTACTTTTTTGTGAAAATCCCACCCATCCCCACCCATAGAATTGGCAGAGTTACTAGACCTGATTTAAATAGCTTCTGGTCTAATCAATCACAACCCTAAGACAATATTGGTCTGCATGCACACTGTTCATTTATATTACATTTTAAGCACATCACTTCCCCCAACAAATTGTGGGTCATACAGTTTACCTCTCACAGAGCTATGATTCTCATCTCCCTTAACAAATGGCAGTTCCCAGGATTCTTTGGGGGAAGTCATGTATGTTAAATGTGCCTTAAAAGTATGGTATGTACGCAGCCTTAGAGAGTATTCCTAACTGTCCAGATCCTCTGGCTGGAGTGCTTTCAGTTTGGGGCAGAGGTGCTTCTCCACCTGTGTGGAGCAGCTCTGCTAGCAACAGGGGGACTGGGGAAACAATTATGCCCATAGAAAGATCTGTGGGCATAGAACTACCACTGTGAAACGCAGCATTTCAGTGTTCACCCAGAAGTAGCTTTGGATCTGTTGCAAGATGGTCAGTCTGTACACAACCTAAGATAGTTCAGAGTACACAAACTGTGATTTAATTTGCACCTGTTGCTCATTTGCAAAGGAGTAACCTCAGTTTTCATTATCACCCAAAACAGCCATTGATGAAGACAATGACATGGAAGACACTGACAGCATTGCATTAGGATTAGCCATACGCTTTACCAGAAGTGCTTACTACAAACAAATGATGGCAGACCTCGATGCACTATCTTCGGACGATAAAAAGAAGACGACAGCTTATAAAGGAATTCCGTACACCACACCCTTTCTTCATCAGCTCAAATGGGTGTCCAAACGCACATTCAAAAATCTGATTGGAAATCCACAAAATTCCACTGCCCAGGTATCCCAAATTAACCTTTTTTTGGCGCGGGAGATCAATGTTACTAGGAAGCTATGCGGGCTATTTAAAAATGAATTTAATGTAAATAACAAAGAGCTATAGGAATAGTTATGTTTGATATACTGTGGGATGGTGTCAGGGTGGGTGTTGGGAGCAGGACAGACCTAACTTACATGGTGTCAGTGAAGTGAACCATTCAAAGAAACAAAATAGCTCAGGCCTCGTGAGCACAGCAACACTTCCCAGCAGATCTTGCCCCAAGCAGGCAGTTGTGAGGACTGAAGGTCCCTACCTCTCTAAGTCTCCTTCTCCCTTGGCTCCTTCCCAAGCACTCTGAGACTCCTTTGTCTTGACTGTCTTTGCTCCGCCCTCTTCATACCTCTTTGGGTTCTGGGAGACCAGTGGGGAAGGGAGCTGGTCACAGCGGAGGGGGAGACTCCCTGGCTTCTTCAACAGCCTGCCTCATCTCTGCCTCTTGGCCTCCAGTTCTGGACTGCTCTCTGCCACAGCCCCTTCCTGCTCACTAAACCCTCTTCGGCTTCCGACTCCTCCTCCCAGTCAGCTCCCTTTTCTCCCTCTGACCACTCATTATTGTCCCACCACCAATGCCCAGGCTCTGAGCCTTCTTCCCTTGGGGGTTCCCCAGCTGGTGGCTCCTGCCGCTCCTCTGTGTCCAACTACTCCATCACATCTGAACTGTACATGTCCTCTTCTTCCCCTGGGAAGCACATTTCAAGCACACGCCTGTATTAGAAACATCCGCAAGTTGAACATGACAGAAATGACGAGGAACAGGCATGGGCAGACCTAACATTGTTGTCCCTGCTGTCCTCCTCACTGATTTTCTGAACACTGGGTCATAATGTCTAAAGAGTCGTAGAAAACAGCAAACAATGTACTGCTGTTCTAGCAGGTATTCTATCCGAAGGGCTCTTTGAGTTTTCCTCTCAGACAGTGTGCCCATTCCTTTTGCTATGACCTCCACTTCTGCAGCAAATTTGTCAAGAATTCTGCAGCGGTTTTCAAAGATACATAGTGATTGCTAATCATCTGTTCAGAGGCCATGAAGTTAAAAGCTTTGTGTGTGTATGTTGATATTATGGGGATCCCTATTAATTGCTTTGTAAAAGCTTGACCTTGTGACAAGAATTAGGATTTTAAGAACCTATAATCTTCCAGGGTTAATGGGCCTGACTTTTTTCTCACAATCATTTCTATCTCCCTAACCTCATTAGAGATGGATTTTGAATGCATTCTTAAAAAGACTCCACATTTCATTAAGCCTTTTTTTTTCTTTTTTGGTAATCTTCTTAAATTGGTCTTGATATGATCTTTGTTTCCCACTTCAACTGGCTTAGCAGTAGAATTATCCCTGACATTTGGTCCTTTCAGCAAGTCCTTAGCACTACGGTACCATGTATCAAGTGCACTTTTAGTGTTAAGGCTCAGGCAATCCCTCCTGCTTAAACACGACTGAACAGGCTGTTACCGTCATCTTGGCTGAGATTTTCATCACTTTTGCTTGTTCTTAATAAAGCAAAGCATAGTTTTTAATCAGTTTGATCGTTGTCCTCTCCCTCCTTCTCTCTGTATATTTCAGAGAGAGAGAGAGAGAGATACATATAAATATATACGTGTGTGTGTGTGTAAATTGGCTGGGCAATTTTATTGCTCTGTATAAATGTGTTTAAAGGGACGTGGGTGGCGCTGTGGTCCAAACCACTGCGCCTCATGGGCTTGCCGATCAGAAGGTTGGCGGTTCGAATTCCCATGATGGGGTGAGTTCCTGTTGCTTGGTCCCAGCTCCTGCCAACCTAGCAGTTTGAAAGCACGCCAAAAAAGTGCAAGTAGATAAATAGGTACCACTCCTGTGGGAAGGTCAACAGCGTTTCTGTGCACTGCTCTGGTTTTGGTGTTCCATTGTGCCAGAAGCGGCTTAGTCATGCTGGCCACATGACCCGGAAAAACTGTCTGCGGACAAACGCCAGCTCCCTCAGCCTGTAAAGTGAAATGAGTGCTGCAACCCCAGAGTCGTCTGCGACTGGACTTAACTGTCAGGGGTCCTTTACCTTTACAAATGTGTTTAACAATACCTGGTTTGTTCCAAAATCTGGCAGAGTTTAAACACATCTCTGTTGGATTTTACCTTGTAAACATTTAGTAGAATGTTTTCTTTTCAAATTCAAGTTGAGTCGTTCAAGTTATTATTCCTAATAGCATTTTAAAGCAAACATTATTTTACAAAGGGGGGGAGTTGCATAGAATTCAAGAAATAAAAGAAATAACAATGCAATTAAAGAACCAGTATTAATATTTAATGCAATAGGTGTGCTTTCTCCTGTTTTCAATCCCAAATCCATAGACATGCTGTGGGCCATGTGAATGAAGCTTATGGACCACTGGTGGTCTACAGTCCACAGTCTTCGAACCCTGTTCTATGTTATAATGAAGGTCCAAAGCCCATTTTTATAAGTTACCTACAGTGATATGGTTACTTCTTCTTCCGTGGTTTCTCCTATGCCAAAGTATGGTTTGTATCCACCATTTACTTAGAGAAGACTGATTGAAATGAATGGGAATTATTAACTTGGGTCTGATTTCTGTGGATCTGCTCAGCTGGATACTTAGTTGGATACAACCCTATGCTCTAGGACTAGTATTGCCAGGCATGACCAGTGTGGTATATCAACACACATCCTTCCCTAACAAAGTGCAGTGCTCATCATCACAGCAGGAGAGCAACTTAATAGATAACAGTTATTATACTTTCACGAAGTCCACTATTTTTCAAAAGTTTCCTTCTGCCCCTCACTCCTCCCTGCCCAAGACAGCATGTTTTCAATATGAAATATTCTTTCCCCGCACTAGATATGTATTGCCACTTTTCTGGGACTAATAGTAGGATCCGTATTCGCTGGAGTTAAAAATGATGCCACTGGCATTCAAAATAGGTGAGTAAGCGCTTCAAAAAAGAGAATGCAATGTAGCATCATCTTCAGCTAGTATTTATGTGCAGAAAAGTTTTGGTAACAAATTACTGTACCGTATTTTTCGCCCTATAGGACGCACTTTTTCCCCTCCAAAAATGAAGGGGAAATCTGGGTGCGTCCTATGGGGCGAATGCAGGCTTTCGCTGAAGCTTGGAGAGGCTTTCGCTGAAGCTCTCCAGGCTTCAGGAAGACATCCGCAGCCTAGGCAGCCCAGATAGCAGCCTGCCTCCCGGAGCGTCGGGCGCCCTGAAAGCAGAGCGCCCGGCGCTTCGGGAACACCTCCGCAGCCTAGGCAGCCCTGCGGGAGGTCCTGCAGGGCTGTCTAGGCTGCGGATAGAAGCCTGCTGCCCGGCGGGCGGGGCACCCTGAAGCAGAGCGCCCCTCGCGCCGGGCATACTTCCGCAGTGTGGGGAGCCCTGCAGGAATTCCCCGCAGGGCTCCCCAGGCTGCAGATAGCAGCCCGCCGGACAGACATCCACAGCGTGGGGAGCCCTGCAGGAGTTCCCCGCAGGGCTCCCCACGCTGCGGATAGCAGCCTGCGGCCCGGCGGGCAGGGCACCCTGAAGCAGAGCGCCCCGCTCGCCGGACAGACATCCGCAGCGTGGGGAGCCCTGCAGGAGTTCCCCGCAGGGCTCCCCACACTGCGGATAGCAGCCTGCCACCCGGCGTGTGGGGTACCCTGAAGCAGAGCGCCCCTCGCGCCGGGCATACATCCGCAGCGTGGGGAGCCCTGCAGGAGTTCCCCGCAGGGCTCCCCACACTGCGGATAGCAGCCTGCCACCCGGCGTGTGGGGTACCCTGAAGCAGAGCGCCCCTCGCGCCGGGCAGACATTGGCCAGCCCCACAAGCTCGGGGGACAGCAGGGAGGCACAGCGCCACAATCCCGCTGTTCCTCGACCTGGTTCGGTTTCCCCGACCTGCTTTTGGGGCGGGAAATAAAGGGAAAATTTTTTCCCTTTATTTCCTCCCCAAAAAACTAGGTGCGTCCTATGGGACGGAGCGTCCTATGGGACAAAAAATACGGTACTTTAGGATGTATTTTATGCAGCAGTCTCCAATATATTTGCTTAAAGGTTTATTTAACCATGGGACACGGAAAAGTAATTTAGCCAAGGCTTTTTTCCCTTTTAGAAAAAGTCTGGTATTGTCTGATTCTATCTGAGAAGGGCTTTCTAGAGTTCACTCATCTCTAGCAAAGCTGAGCCACCCAATTCAAAGCATCTATTTCTCCCATCTAAGGATGAGGGAGAAATTTGATTTTTTATGCATTTTCTTGTGAAACTATGGAATCTGCACCTAAACCAGAAAGCCAACTGAAGGATGGTTATCTTCCAAAATTTGCACTTCGCCAAATTTTGCAATGCAGTACTAAAGCTGCAATTCAGTTTTGCTCCGGCGAAACAGTGTGCACAAAAATATATTAGAAGAAATAACATACGAAACTAAATTAGATCGGGAAATTGCTTGCAGAAATGCATATGTTAGAAGAATCCACACAAAAATACGTAAGGAGTTTTGCACAGATTTTTTTTTAAAGTTGCAGATTGATGCAGAAATTAATCTGTGCCTTGGTATCTCTAATTCTGTCACTTTTGGGTTCTCTTGTAGAGTTGGCGCTTTGTTCTTCTTGACGACCAATCAGTGTTTGAATAGTATTACGACTGTTGAACTTTTTATCACGGAAAAAAGGATATTTATGTAGGTAAAACTGTGTGTAATGGAAATCCAAGCTTAGTCTACTGCTAGTAGCCTTATTTGCTTACCTGTTCTTTGGTTGAGTAACTCATCAGTCAGTTCCACCTATGGAGCCCATGCTCGCGGCCATTTTGCCACACATATCAGCCCCTGGTTATGATAAAAGCCTTCTCTTCATTTGGTAAGGAGATACAGATGGCCAAGCTGTCCTGGCTGAGAGCGCTCAGTCTGAATTAAAGTTTGGCTGTCTGTATGGACTCCAGGTTTAGGGAGAAAGAATTCTCTAAAACAAGGGTGAGAAGCTTTTTCCAATCCAAGGACCACATTCTCTTCTGGGCAACCATGCAAGTATCACATGTCCATGGTGAGTAGGGCCTGGGCAAAAGTGGGAGGAGCAAGAATTTGACCGTTGTAAACATGGACTAGTTTCTACACACCTTTCTCTGTCCTCCAACCAGACAAGCAAGAGGCATCATCACAATTCAAAGACACATTTCAGCCAGGAAGAACCAGGTATTGCCTGAGAAGAGGGTGTGTGACCTGGAGAAAGTATTCAGGGCCAGAAAAAGGAGCATTGAGGGCCGCCACATCCAGCCCTGCTCTATAGCATCAGTTTTGGCACCTAAGGAATATGTGAATGTTGAGCCCATATTCCATTTCAGCGATTACTAGCTCAGCAGTTGCATGCTGGATGCATTGTGGACCTGGGTAGAGCAAGCACACTTTCATTAAAGCTTCAGGGGCCCCAGCTAAGTGGCAGAATATGTGCTTTGCATGTTGCAGTGTAGTGACCTCATATAATCATAGAGCTGTAGAGTTGGAAGGGATCCCGAGGATCATCTAGTCCAATCCCCTGCAATGATCGAATCTTGCCCTTGGTGGGCTTGAACCACCAACCCTGGTTAACAGCCAGACACACTGATCCATTGTGCCACAGGGAAGACCAAGGACAGGACACGTTGCCTGAATAATCCTGGCACCATCTGGACACCATGCTATTTCTGTTCTTGATAGTAAAGCTGAATGTGATTATATGGGGGGAATCTTTCATAAAGCACTTTTGACACCCTCACAAGTCTATAAAGCAGGACATAACTGTTCTAAATAGATGAAACAAGCTTCTGGGAAATGTCTGGTACTAGTTTGAAAACTAGATTGAAAACTGCTGCCATTTATGAATCCGTTTGTTGGTTGTGGGTTATCTCCCGCTTGGACTACTGCAATGCACTCTACGTGGGGCTACCTTTGAAGGTGACTCGGAAACTACAACTAATCCAGAATGCGGCAGCTAGACTGGTGACTGGGGGCAGCCGCCGAGACCATATAACACCGGTCTTGAAAGACCTACATTGGCTCCCAGTACGTTTCCGAGCACAATTCAAAGTGTTGGTGCTGACCTTTAAAGCCCTAAACGGCGTCGGTCCAGTATACCTGAAGGAGCGTCTCCACCCCCATCATTCTGCCCGGACGCTGAGGTCCAGCGCCGAGGGCCTTCTGGCAGTTCCCTCATTGCGAGAAGCAAAGCTACAGGGAACCAGGCAGAGGGCCTTTTCGGTAGTGGCACCCGCCCTGTGGAACGCCCTTCCAGCAGATGTCAAAGCGATAAACAACTACCTGACATTCAGAAGACATCTTAAGGCAGCCCTGTTCAGGGAAGTTTTTAACGTGTGATTTTATTGTATTTTTGGTTTTTATGGAAGCCGCCCAGAGTGGCTGGGGAAACCCAGCCAGATGGGCGGGGTATAAATAAATTATTATTATTATTATTATTATTATTATTATTATTATTATTATTATTATTGTTGTTGTTGTTGTTGTTGTGCAAGTCCTGAATGTGTGTATTTTGTGTTGCAGACATGAATATATAAGTGGCTACTATAGAGTGTCTGCATATTTCTTCTCAAAGATATTAGCTGATATGGTGCCCATGAGGACTTTACCTGGCATCATCCTCACTTCCTTAAATTATTTCTTGATAGGCAAGTATACTACAAAAGTCATGTTTCATTTTTCCTTAATATAGATATTAGATGGTGGCAGGCAGATTGCTTGTTGCATATCACTGTTGTTGGAAAGCACAATATGCTTATTTTGCCACTTAAAACCATGTGTGTATTCAGACACACCCTCCCGTACCAGCAACTGGCGAATGAAGTCTATTTGATACTAGAAATGTTTATGCCATAAATAAAAATTTAGTCTTTAAGGCGCCACAAATGTATTGGTTGTTTTGCCGTAGGAGACTAACATGTATGTTCCTCTGGAAAGAAATAGTAAAGCTATTGTTTTCCTTTTGTCGAACAAATCTCACTTCTGATGTAAAATATATCATAGGTTAATTCTAAATTAGCAATAATATAAAACACATACCCAATGCTTGAGGAGGGGTAGGAGAGACCTGCTAACTCCCATATCTTGGCAGCCCCCTCAAGCACTGTGTATGGGCTTGTGGATTTCATTAAGACTGACTCACCCCAGAATTAGGGTGGTTAAAGCAGAAAGGGATAGCAAAAAGCTCCAAAAAGTTCTCCTGAGCTGGGGGACTGAGCATTGAAAGGATAAACACAGCTCTTACACATTTATGAAAGTGATGCACACTGGACTCCAAACAGAAATGTCACATATACATAGATGTGATCTGAGTGGACAGTGATCGACCAGGTTGTAGTGTAGAGCTGGATGAAAATGTTGAACCAAAGTGCGAATTTTTGGCCTTTTAGGTAACAAGATCATAGAGCATTGTATTCTGTGTTCTGTTTACAATACATGTAAGGACCAAAAGCATCACAGTCAATAATACTCTTTATTGACAAATAAAGCCAGCTATGATATTAAGGCTGACATGCTAGTGCAAAGCTGCATATATGTACAGTTTTGCTCATGGGGAAGCCTGCATTGCAAAATTTTGATGCTGTGTATGTACATCTACAGTGGTACCTTGGTTCTCAAATTTAATCCATTCTGGGAGTCTGTTTGACTCTCGAAACACTTTGAAAACCAAGGCGTGGCTTCTGATTGGTTGCAGGAGCTTCCTGCACTCAATCAGAAACTACGGAATCCACATCGGACATTTCGGCTTCCAAAAAACATTTGCAAATCGGAACACTCATTTCCGGGTTTGCGGTGTTTGGGAACCGATTTGTTCGGGAGCCAAGCTGTTCGACTACCAAGGTACCACTGTGTTAACATTTTTAATTTGTTTCAGGTTTCAAGCCAACTGCGGTAGCCTTCTTTACCATGATGATTACTGTTATATTAGTCGCCTACGCAGCCAGTTCCATGTCTCTGGCAATAGCAACAGGGCAAAACGTCACGTCGGTTGCAAACCTCATCATAAATATTTGCTTTGTTTTTATGATTGTGAGTTTTGGTTGATTCTTCTCTTCCCCCTCCTCCTTTGGTGGGTGGGGGTGGGAATGTTTAGACAGATATTATGCAAAAAGGCTACATTGCCACATTTCAGCCACCGCCCAAAGTTCTATCACATGAACGGGATGATTCATAGGGGAGCAAGTTTGCCTTCAGGGACGCGGGTGGTGCTGTGGTCTAAACCACTGAGCCTAGGGCTTGCCAATCAGAAGGTTGGCGGTTCAGATCCCTGCGATGGAGTGAGCTCCCGTTGCTCGGTTCCAGCTCCTGCCAACCTAGCAGTTCGAAAACACGTCAAAGTGCAAGTAGATAAATAGGTACTGCTCCGGCAGGAAGGTAAACGGAATTTCTGTGCGCTGCTCTGGTTTCGCCAGAAGCGGCTTAGTCATGCTGGCCACATGACCCGGAAAAACTGTCTGCGGACAAATGTCGGCTCTCTCGGCCAGTAAAACGAGATGAGCGCCGCAACCCCAGTCGTTCGTGACTGGACTTAACTGTCAGGGGTCTTTTACCTTTACCTTTTTAAGTTTGCCTTCAATGGCTGCAAGACTCCTAGATAGTGCCCGTTTGGGGTGAAGTCAAACTGTGAAAAGTTAAGAGCACTTGCTGTGGCTGTTGAGACAGGTATGAGAGACATGGTTTTTTGCAGCTGTGGCAGATGAAGGCATCCAGTTGTGCTGCTGCAGATGCACCACAGGGTTTCTTATCTCTGTTATCCTCCCAGTGGTCATTCCTGTTCTGGCCACTGCTATGGATGTGCAACCTCTCTGTCTGTCTCCAGGCTCTGTGGTCGTCTGCAAGGGATTCCCACACAGTGGGGTTGATGCTGCCAGCCTTCATGCCATGTTTACAGACATTAAGGGAGTTGCAAAGATGGTGCCCTATCTAAGACTCTTTATCCCATAGAAAACGAATAGCCATTCATTCCCTCAGGAAAACTGTTTACTGCCATTAAACTAACTTACGATGCACCCCTGAAATGGGGGCGGTGAATAAAAAACACATACACAGTTTGCTGAACTTCAAAAAGTACATGCTTACTGACGATGGGTGCTCCAGAGGAATAACTTCTCGGTATAGATGAAATACACAAATCCACTTGTGTATATTTCACTGCGATGAGAATGAATTTTGGAAATGGCTGAAATTCTTTAAGAGCTCTGGGTGAATTTTTTTTCTGTCAGTTTGACTTTTCCCTGTCTTTTAAAACTACTATTACCATTTGTAGGTTTTCTCTGGCTTGCTGGTGAACATCACAACCATTTCACCTTGGTTGCTGTGGCTGAAGTATTTCAGTATCCCGCGCTATGGCCTGAATGTAGGTATCAGCCTTTCCCCCTTTCTTCTTTAGAAATGGTTCTGGAAGTTTAGAACTCACCACCAGCTATCATAACCCTGGCTACAAATTCATATAACTGACCAGAGAAGGCTATCTTTCCCCTCAACATTGACTCTGGTGTTTTAATTTTAAATACCGTATTTTTCGCACCATAGGGCGCACCGGACCATAGGGCGCACCCAGTTTTTAGGGGGGGAAATCAAGAAAAAAATCTTTCCCCCCCCAGCCCCAAAGAGCAGCGTACAGGGTGCGCACAACCTCTCCCTGCCGGAGGGGTTGCGAGCAGCTATGGAGCAAGCCAAGTTTTGGCTTCCCCTTTAGCCCCATGCAGCCTCTCCTTGCCGGGAGACGCTGCACAGGGCTAAAGAAGCCATAGCCCCATGCAGCCTTTCCTTGCGGAGGGGTTGCGCGCAGCTATGGAAGAAGGCAAGGCAGCAAGCGGGATGGATCCCGCTCGCTGTTTTGCCTTCCCCTTTAGCCCCGCGCAGCCTCTCCTTGCAGAGGGGTTGCGCGCGGCTATGGAAGAAGGCAAGGCAGCGAGCGGGATGGATCCCGCTCGCTGTTTTGCCTTCCCCTTTAGCCCCGCGCAGCCTCTCCTTGCAGAGGGGTTGCGCACGGCTATGGAAGAAGGCAAGGCAGCGAGCGGGATGGATCCCGCTCGCTGTTTTGCCTTCCCCTTTAGCCCCGCGCAGCCTCTCCTTGCGGAGGGGTTGCGCGCGGCTATGGAAGAAGGCAAGGCAGCGAGCGGGATGGATCCCGCTCGCTGTTTTGCCTTCTCCTTTAGCCCCGCGCAGCCTCTCCTTGCGGAGGGGTTGCGCGCGGCTATGGAAGAAGGCAAGGCAGCGAGCGGGATGGATCCCGCTCGCTGTTTTGCCTTCTCCTTTAGCCCCGCGCAGCCTCTCCTTGCGGAGGGGTTGCGCGCGGCTATGGAAGAAGGCAAGGCAGCGAGCGGGATGGATCCCGCTCGCTGTTTTGCCTTCTCCTTTAGCCCCGCGCAGCCTCTCCTTGCCGGGAGATGCTGTGCAGGGCTTTCCTGGCTTTTCTGGGAGGTGGGGGAATTCCCCCACCTCCCGCAAAACCGGCAGAAGCCGCGCGCACTTTAAAAGGGCTGCACGGCTTCTTCTGGCTTTCCTGGGAGGTGGGGGGATTCCCCCACCTCCCTCAAAACCGGCAGAAGCCGTGCGCACTTTAAAAGGGCTGCACGGCTTCTCCTGGCTTTCCTGGGAGGTGGGAGAAGGGACTGATGCGGCCAGTCAGTCCCTTCTCCCTCCTGTGGAAAAGCCCGCAAGAGCGCACGGAGCTTGTGTGCGGCTCTTGGGGCTTTTCCCGCCTGCCTCCCCCCCTGCATTCGCTCCATAGGACGCACACACATTTTCCCTTGCTTTTTAGGAGGGAAAAAGTGCGTCCTATGGTGCGAAAAATACGGTATTTCTTAAACACCCAAACTTCTAAGCAGTTTACATAAAATACGGTACAATAAGGTCTCTTAAGGCTGCACCATATGTGCAGGTGTTTAATAAAAACGTGTTTGCTCGTTTAGCAAACACATTTTAATTAAACGCCACATGTTACTTTCGCTAATTTTAAATGCAGGCATTAAAATGCCATTGTGTGGGACCAATCTGGATTAGGACCCTAGTGTGGCAGGTGGGTTTTTTAAAAACAACAACAACAATGGCATTGATGTACCTTCAGTGATTTCTGCTCTTGGAGAAATATTAAGAGTCCCTTCTCATTTCATCAAGCAACTGCCTGGATGATGGCTCTGCTATACCTGGTTTGGGAATGGACAAAGGCTGTTTCTGATGGTGAAAGTGCACGCCTGCCCCCTTTCTCATTTACTACAAAGAAGACCCCACATATTAAGCATTTGCCATACACTGGTTGCTGAATGTGTGAACTGGGCACAAGCACACTTTCCACGTCCTTTTCTTTTAAATGAGAGGGTGAATTATGTGAATTGGACGCCACTACATGATGAGCGGTGAAAACAAAAAACACCCCACCCCTTTTGGACCTGTGACTTGAGATCACAAGACAAAACGAAAGTGTGGAAAAGTGATCTCACAGCGACATCTAGTGATATAGGCTGTGAACTGCACAGTGCTGCCTGTTAACTCTCTTATGTATTGGCGTACATTAATTAGAATCGAATATCCCTCTCCCCCGCCCACATTGTTAGTTTGATGCGAATGATTTTTGGACTAGGGGCAGATTGACATTTTGTTCATTTTTGTTCATTTGTTAATTGGTGGGTCTGAGTATTGCTTTATTCTTTGAGCATGGCTTTTTTATAAAAAGGCTTTTATATGAAATATTAATATATTATTTGATTTCCCCCACTTCCCCCCATGGTAATATATACTGCATATCTTCTTCTTTTTGCTGTAAGTCACTTGGAGAACTTCAATAAATCTAATAAATGAAATGAAATGCATATAAAACTTCAGGTGAAACAGGGTTTTCTGCTACAAAGGCATAGCTGTCAACCGTCCCTTATTTGGCAGGAAAGTCCCTTATCCCAGCGCCATGTCCCACTGCTGTCCCTTAAATTTCCCGGGTTTCAAAGGAAGCAGCTCCTCTCCCTCCCTCCCTGCTGGCCAGGGAGGAGGGAGGCTCCAACTGTGTTGCTTGGCTGCGTTGCTCACCCAATAAGGAGTCTAAGAACGACTGGGGGGTGGTGGAGCTTGCATGCCTTGTGCCGATCAAATCAGCCGCGTTGCCTGGGGACTCGCCTTTGCTCAGCGCTTCCCAGCGGAGAGGTGATGGTGGTTTTTCTTGCTGCATCCCCTTTGCTGCGCTGTGGGAACCACCGCTTGAGGCTTTGTTTGGCAGCTGGTTGACTAAAATCCCTTATTTTGGTTGCTGATCCCTTATTTTCGAGGCTGCTGGTCCCTTATTTTCAAATCTGTAAGTTGACAGCTATGTACAAAGGGGGTGTGTGGATTGCAGTATTTCTTATGCAACATTTTCCAGTTATGTTCTTTAAAGCACCAATAGATCCATGGTATACTAACTTGTGGCAAAAAAATAGTGCTTGAAAGCAAGTGAGGCTGTTCAGACAGGTTGCCTCTTAATGCGCACAGCGATTGACAGCCAAACTGAGAAACCTCAGCTACTTTTGGGATCTCCACCAATCCTGGAGAAGTAAATAAAATGTGTAATGTTTTCATATCCTTAACAAGACTGAAATTCTTCTTGTCTTGCCTCTTCCCAAAAATGTGAAAATATGGAAACCTTCTCAGGTAACAACAGTGGAAACAAGTAAGTAATTCAGTTTTGTTTGTCTTTAAAGGCTTTGCAAGTAAATGAATTTACTGGGCTTAAGTTTTGCTCAGAACTTGAACAAGGGGTCAACGTAACCTGCATCGCTCCTAGTCCATTTACCATGTAAGTACTTGGCATGTTGCAAACAGTTGCGCTATACAGTAAGCTAAAACAACAGTTATTCGGAGCTGATTTCTTGTACATTAGAATTAACCGGGGGCTGTGGTGGAGTGGTGAGGAAGGCTTCACTGCATTACAGTCTTAGTAGGGTGTGTGGGGTGTGTGTGTGTGTGTGTGGAGAGTCTGTGTCATCCTTGATCAACTAATAGCAGTGTCTTCTTTGTATTCCATCTTTTGTTGTCATTCTTCTGATAAGAAACAGCATTGAGAGCAAAACAAGAAAACTAGGTAAAATTAGGGACAATACATTTCTAACAAAACTTTGGCCTTTAACCTGTGTTTGCTAGATGCACTGGAGAAGAATATCTGAAGATGCAAGGCATTGACATGACTTTCTTGGGCATGGTGAAGAATTACGTGGCTCTTATATGCATGACAATCATTTTCCTCTCTATCGCATATCTGAAATTGAGATTTATTAAGAAGTATACTTAATCGAGCAGGGCACGCATGCCTACTGAACACTACAGTGTACGTTTATGGTAAACATGTAATATATGTAAAATATACAGCTGATTTATAAATCTTTTATTTTCTTTCTTTCAAGAGAGAGAGTGGAAGGAAAGTGGCCATTGTGCCAATTGGAACTTTCCTCCCATTAGCAATTAGCAAATAGCCGGGGATTCCGACTGGGGAAATGGGTGTGGCAAAGCGCCCTCCCCCATGGTCCTAACCTGGCCTGTGACCTCCCCCACCAGTGCTATGTACATATAAAACTATATATATTTATCATCTACAATGTCACATTTAGATTGGCCTTGTCCTTCCAAACAGTGGCTAAGGTGGTCAATGTCTTACCCATACAAAATCAAACCAGAGGTGGGAGCTCACATGGTGGGATATAAATTTGCTCCTTACACAAAGAGAGACTTTTGCTTTAGTTCAATATCCATGGATTGAGTTGAACTGGGTCAAGAGATCACCTATTCCTACAACCTACAACAGGCCCATGGAACTAAATTGAAACCCAGCCTGTATCTCCCCACCTAATAACACACACAAACTACTGCAAACCATATAAAGTCTTTATTAAGGGGGGAGGTGGTCACTATTAAACCAATACATCTTTGATCATTGTGGATAACTAATAACTTTCCAACACACCTTTGCTATTAAGACATTAACCTAAAAACGGGGGTAACTCACACTTCCATTGTGTGAAACAAAAGGGATACAAAAACAGGTAGCTTCGCTGTCATACACTAAATGTATGTACGTTGTCAGTATGCATGGATAACCCATGAAATCTTATTGCACTTCAAAATGAAGTTTGTTATTAAGTAACAACATGTTACAACAATATATATAAACATATATATTAATATATATAAACAAATATGATTATGAATGCAAACATTTTGGTTTTTATAGCAACGCTGCAAATGTAAGATATAATGATTGTGATGGCTGTAAATACAAACAGGAAGACACAACTTTTGAAACAAGCACGCCAAGGCGTGTTGCAATGGCAGCTTCCCACTCTGCAGCTTGGCATCTGCGACAGCATGGCACGAAAAATCTGCGATGCCATTAGCACTACTGTGAGAAATTCCTGTGGACTGAAGCACCCTCTTGAAGCCCCCAGCAACAAAGCCAAATGAATGTGTCCCTATGAGTCATACTGTCACACAGGTTGTTGTTTTGGAAATGCACCACATAAAATCTTTCAGAAATCTAAAAGGCTCTGACTTGCTCCCTTTTGTGTTCTTGCTACATCACTAAATGACCTTTCATGGGGTTTTTTTTTATTTCATGTCTAATTTAAGCCACAACCCAACCACAATCAGTGTCTAAGAATAGAACGTTGTAATTTTCCTACCAAAAAATTCAGCGAAAAGAGAACTCCGAGTCCCTCTTGTGGTCCCTTTAATTTTCAATTAATGCAAGGCGCATTGCTAATACTGTTCAATTGGAAGGCATGAGCTGACAGTCTGGCACCTCACAAAAGCTGCTTCCACAGTGGACTTTTACTGTAGGATAGACATACTTTCTGCATGATGCTCTGAGCACAACATTCTCCCCCTGCAAGTATTCCTCTTTCAGCTTTGGGGCAATTTCCTCAGGTGTAGTTGACCTGCCATCTAGCTGTTCATTCCCCCCGTTTTTGCCAGTTATGACCTGCATAGATTCATCCAGCCATTTCCTTCTCTATGGTTAATACTCCTCTCTAGGAATCAACTCTTTATTATTTTAGCCCTTCCCTTCCCAAATTTCATTGCCTTTAATCAGCTTCTTACCCCATCCCAAAACTCTAGAAACAAGATGGGGGGAACACTTATTATCTGGGGTGCAACCCAGGGGTGTGGGATGGTGTAGTTAACCCCTTCACCCTCATGCTGCAGCTCTAATTGAAATTGCTTCACCTTCTCAACATTTGGGACTGGGGACACTGCCTACCAGGCTAAAGGAATGTCATTTGAATTTCAGAGGTCTGGAAACAGAGCTGCTATTCTGCTTATAGCTTGAAGCAGAGCTATTAAACAAGGTGTTATAAAACAGTACTTTTCTCTGGGGGTACTCAAAGGAACGCAGTACCGACACCTTTTTCCCCCTAGAAGAAAAGCACTGCTATTAAATCACCCATATTTAGAGGCACACTGTGTGAAAATAGCAGCATTTTAAGAACCAGAGGGGACTTTGCCTTCACTTGCCAATTGAGAATTACTGCTTGCTTGAGTAACAGAAAATTCCCGTGCCATTCCTTGTAGAAAAACAGAAGAAAAAAAAGAGCGTACCATCCCAGCCACATTATTCTGGACATTGTGTGATTTCATTTCTCTCTGGTGAATGAAATGCAGAGGTTACTTTTTTGGCAAGTAGTTAGGATAAACTACTGTAATACCTATTTCTCTTGAAAGCAGGCGACAGCTATTTATCCTTTGATTTGGACAGTTTCCTTAAAATACTATTAAGAGTACAGGATTTCCAGAATCCTGCTATCTTTAAGAACATACAGATAAGATTTGCAATAAAAAATGGTGTGTTTTATACTTTATATAGCAAATTGAAACTTGATAGTTTAGGGGTCGTCGTCCCCCACTCTAGAGGGCTAATTACATTTTTTGAAGGGAACAGAGTCTGGGGGGGGGGCTATGGAAAGCAGAGAAATTTGTGACATTTCTGTAGATTCTTAAGTAGCTGAAACCGAGTCCAAGGCTGGATCAGTTCTGTTTGGTAGTGCAAGGGTTCTTGCACTAGCAGATGCGAAGGTTTTGCTATTTCACAACAGAGAAATCCAATATAACAGCTGTGCTGGTGGAAACTTGGTGCGCAACCTACTGTACAATCTATCGTGTGACAAAGTTACCTGCAACCTACTTTTACATTACTCTGTATGTATATCGCTAAGTGATTTTAATTGAGTGCTACATTAGAGACAACCCCAAATTAACTTTTCGTTTTTAAATCACTTCATAGTCTCCCAATTTTTATATTTAAAAAAGCATCAACAGCTCGGCTGTTTCTCTGCTTACTGAATCTGCCTCTGCATACCTTAGAGCTTCCTGTGACTTAGCCAAATCACTAACTGTGCGCAATACTCATAATTTTGTAGGCAAAGTTAAAAGTCTACTAGACATGGACATTGTTGCCACTGTTCCCACCTCCTCCGGCATCAATGCCTTCCGTGGACTGTGAGGAAGAAGGGCGGGAACTCCTAGCCCGAGACTGGCCGTTGAGCCCCATTGGAGTTCCCAGTCTGTGGCTCACTTGGGATGCCGTATCATCTGATTCCCATCGCTCCAGCTCTTCTCGTACAAGTCTCTCCATCTGATCCCTGTGGACTTCATTATCACGGCCCAGCCTGTCATCCTAGGCACAAATATCGTAGTGTCCGATCATACAAAGATTGCAAAAAAAGATACATTGCAGTGTATGAATTCTTAAATTGGGAAGAAACACTTATGTGGTTTAAATGGTTAAAAATTACTAACATAGCTAACAGAAACAATACTTTGTCTTGAGAAAACAGGAATAGAATGAAACAGCAAATTTGCAAGAACTGTTTGCCTTTTTCCGGCACATGTGAGTTACCTCTGTGACCCCATCAAGCAGCCTTCCCAGGACCTCTTTCCTTTTCAGTTTTGCTCTCTCCATGGCTTCCAGCTTCACGATGACAGCGTCAATCTTAGAAACAATGCTGCCTATGGAATGCTCCATGCGATCCACTCGCCGCACCAACCTAGAGCCAAACATTTTTTTTATAAGATATATTTTTTATTTAAACAATGCGTATTTTATTTTGACTAGAGATTTAATGATCAAGCAATTCATGTAACACTTGTTAGGGGAAAAACCTCTGCCCTAGTGGTCTATTATCATGTACTTTTGCATAGATCAGTCTCTTGCATCTCCAATGAAAAAGTAGTACAAGAATAGGGAGAGGAGCTGCGGCCAAGCAAAGTGGTCAGTACTGAAGCAGCATCTGAATCAGGGAAGCCTCACTTTGAATTTTGCCTCTGACATGGACCTATGAAGTGGCCTTGGGAATGCCACTCCCATTCAACCTCCCTTTTTCAGTAATGATAATAATAGCAGCCAACCTTGCAGGGCTGTTATATGGATTTCAGCAGTTTAATGCACGTGAAGTACCTTGATAAATAAATCCACAACGAAGCATAAATACATGGTTATTTGATTATGGGGTGTGTGAAATACTGCACACAACACTCCACAGACCACAGCAATGGGAGCTACAGCTTCTTTGCATGGCAACTGTCTTCTGGAGCACACAAGAGATGCCACTTTAAATTGAGAAAAACATCCAAGAGCTCATGGTCTCTGGCAATCCTATAGTTCTACCGCTGAATATACAATAGCCTTGATTAAAAGGGAGGAAAGGCACCATGCAATGTTCTTTGAACATTCATAATCAAGTAGAATTCCCCTATATCTGGACATCTCAGAAGACAATCGATCAGTCTACACGTACTACTGTGGAAGGACACTAACAGCAGCAACCCAAAAACCTTTCAGCACCTCGCTCAGAATGCCTAGGCAACAGAATCAGCAACAATAATCTCCTATGCTTGCTGGCTGCTCATATAGCTACAACCCTATGCAAGGCTTTGCAACACACAACAGAAAGACATCAAGATTAGAGACCGGTCAGGCTACTCAAGTGTTTTAGCTTATTCTAGCAGGATGAAAGCATAAATGTGCGGCTGTCCAGAAACATTTAGTGTTATTTCCCCTTCTGTTTTTCACTGGAACAAAAGCATTTTCCCTCAGATATTTTTCAGCTGGATTCTTTCACATTATGTTCCAAGACTGAAGTTTCCAGAAGCAATACAGAACATTCATAAATCAGAGATGGGAAGAAGGTAGACAGTGATCCACCAATGGAACTCTGAGCAATTTCTGGCAACTGCCTTCTCCCCGCACCTTCTCCCAAGACAAATCTAGCACTCCATTGCAAGCAGAAGCCTCATGCCCCACTGGTTTGAATGAAAGCTGTTTTATACATATATAAATGCTGAAAACAAACAAACAAAAGCAAAACCCATGAAGATCCTGGTTATAGCAGGAGCTCTTGCCTTTGATAAAAGGGACACGGGTGGTGCTGTGGGTTAAACCACAGAGCCTAGGACTTGCCGATCAGAAGGTCGGCAGTTCGAATCCCCCCAATGGGGTGAGCTCCCGTTCCTCGGTCCCTGCTCCTGCCAACCTAGCAGTCTGAAAGCACGTCAAAGTGCAAGTAGATAAATAGGTACCGCTCTGGCAGGAAGGTAAACGGTGTTTCTGTGCACTGCTCTGGTTCACCAGAAGTGGCTTAGTCATGCTGGCCACATGATCCGGAAGCTGTACGCCGGCTCCCTTGGCCAATAAAGTGAGATGAGCGCCGCAACCCCAGTCGGTCACGACTGGACCTAATGGTCAGGGGTCTCCTTTACCTTTACCTTTTACTTGCCTTTGATGCTAATGCCCACCCCCAAGTAACAGATTCAAGTCTCTCTCACACACCCACACGAGGGATACAAGCAACATGTTGTTGCAGGGCTCTGCTTGTAAGTGATGGAGAAGGACCATAGTTCAATGTTAAAGCATCTGTTTTGCATTCAAAGGTCCCAGGATTCAGTTCCCAGCATCTCCATGTAGGGCTGGGAATATCCCCTGCCTGAAATCCTGAAGGCTGCTGCCAGTCAGTGTAGACAAGACTGAACTCGATGGGCGACCAGTGGCCTGGCTCAGGTTGAGGTCATTTCCTAGGATGCATTTCAAAAGGAGTATCCAGAACGGTGTTGGACAATGACATTGTTTTAAAAACCCCAAAATGCCTAATACTAACACTTGAAATTCTTCATATGAAACCCCGCTCGAGCTGCTGCCTCTCCTCCGGGAGCTGTGTCCGCTGTCGTCATCGTCATCCTCTTCAGAGTCATCCAGGCTTCGTGGGAAGCTACGGCCGCTCAGTGGACGATTCAGAGAGCTTCTGTCTAACTCTAAGTCCTCCTTGGTGAAAATAAGAAAGGCTATAAGGTTCGTAGGGCAGGTACAATATCAGAAATACACAAAGCTCTCTTTCCTCCCAAGCTTGTTACAACCAGGGAACCATGCTTGCCACAAACTGAAATCCAAAATTCTGCCTAAGTGATTATTTGAGACAGCTTCCTGCAGCATTACTCCACATGTACTTTGTGTCTTGCCATTTTTACTTTCTTTATTCTGAAACTAACGATGGCATTTGTGGCTCGGCAAGGCCAAACATAAGGCATCGTTCTACTCTGCCTTGCACTAGTCCAAGACCTGCATAAGCAGAATACAGTACAAATGGAGCAAGCAAAAATAAGATAAAACTGCTTCACTGAAAGCAAAAGCAGTAGCTTGGATCATATAATCCAGACTTCTAATAGCGAATACAGATAAAAGCAGTATTTGTTCATTTCAAGAAGTCATCCCGTGGTATTTAAACCATAACTCACCCTCTCTTTTTCCAAATCATCTCTCATTTGCTGATGCTCCAGTTCAGTCAATTCCTGATCTCCATCTTGGTCATACTTTGTAAAGATGGCTTCAATCTCGGCATCAGTGTGTCCCCTTCTGGAAATAAAACACGCACACACACAAGCGTCAACAAAAGGATGCAGGGTAGGAGAAGTTAAACATTATGCACGAACAGACACAAATCAGCAAATACAGTTATATAACTGCTCCTTGGATCCATGATGTCATTTGCTATCGCTAGTATGTCTAAAATTGGCATTCCATACAAAAATATCCATTAGAAAAAGATCAAAACCCGCCCATCTCACAAGAAAAGGTTGGTGAAGATAATTACTCCTTAATGCACTATGTGGAAAGCAAGTTCAGGATGTTGAAAAAGCTACTCACCACCACTGTTCTTGAACATGGTCACCAAGAGCCTTTTGCTGGGAGAATTATTACAGAGGAGGACAGTCAGACTTACCCCTTCAGGTCTTGCCGCAGTTCATCAAAGTTCAATTTGCCTCCGCTTTGTCGCAGACTCTCTGAAATGTCATCAACTGGTGTTTTTTTAAGTTTTAACTTCACCATGGCTTTAGTGTAGCCCTGAAATAGGAAATACAGTCTGTATATAGTCAAAGCTATAAAACTTAGCAGCATATGCTAGAACTGTGTATTTTTATGGATGCTTTCCTCTCACATTACCTTTGCTATGAATGCATTGAGCTTCTCCACATCAGGGGATTAACTTGGGAATGTTTTGTGTGACAAAATGCTTTCTAACTGACCTGCGACCTGTACACTGCTGCTTTCTAGTCTACTGCTAAAGAGATCAATGACAATCTTCTTCAGCCGTTCTGTTTACTCACATGAAGATAATGACTTTCCAGGGTTCTAACATGCAGGGAGGGCCTCCCCACTTCAGAAACTTGCCTTCCCACCTGTGGAGGTCTGTAAAGGAGAGAGTGATGCACTGGATGTGGAAGAGACTCTCAGCTCTCCCTGCCAGAGATGGAAACCTTGGACCCTCCAGATGATGGACAGCTTCCATCATCCTTGATGGCTATACAGGTTGGAGTTGATGGGAGTTGTGAGTCCAACTGCTGAATGCCTACAGGTTCCTTATCCCTGACATGTCCTGGGAGCTGCTTTCAGGTACCTTCATAAAATACCAGCTGAAGCTCCATGTTTAAATATGATTAATAAAAGGAATTGGTAAATTAATTTGCCCATCAGGAATTGTAAATTCATTTGCTAACCATTCTGAAGGGGCTCTGAGCCCCTTGTTTGTGCCGTAAGGTCAAGGCAGCACAAATATCTGTAAAAGGCTTTTACCTTTCTTATAAGATCCGACAGTTCCATTTCAGATTTCTGCTGCGCCATATCCGATTTGACTTCAGAGTATGTATCATTGATGATGGCCAAAAACATGTTCTGTTTAAGACAAAGCATTTTAAAATGGAGCTTGAAAAAACAAACAAACCCAAAGCCTTTGACTTCATTAAAATATAGTTACTGAGCATATGCTAAGGTTAAGTTTTGTAACTTTCAAGGAAAAAGACAAGCTCTGTCCAAGCGAGAGGCAGGGGGACAGAGAATAGTGAGAGCAATTTGCAACAGCTCCACCAGAGCTAGTTGCTCATTATCTTGTCCTTTCAAAAAGAGTGAACACGCCTTATTAGGATATAATATATAACCCTCCAGGGTCAAATGCAAAAGAAAAATAAAATTAGGCCAGGCTTGGAGCTCTCCCTCCCCCTTTCAGCATCATCCACTCTGACAGGTGCAGTAGATATATACTGTATATATCCCTGGATGAAGCATGATGTATAAATATAGTAGATATAACAACAACAATAGTGGGCAACAGCAGCAGCAGCAGCAACAACAACAACAACAGGCAGTTGCATTCATAGCCATAACTCGTTTCCATAAGGCTTTGTCTCAAAATAACAGCGTCTGAACTGATTTTAGTTTTAGGTTTATATAGAGTTCAAACTGAGCTTGGGAAGAATGAATGCCTCTTGATCCACCTCAACTGAAAAATGCAAGAAGGACATGGAGAATAGAGAGGCTGCCATCTCTACAAAATGTTTTTCACAATTTAAGAATGAAACGCAAAGCAGTCACAGTCTCACATTCCAGAAACTGAATAAGCTCGTAACAGACTGGGGCTGGAGACTTGTGCCTGCACTTTCCCAGGGCCCCCATGCACATACTGTCAAACTGTACAACTGTTACTTTTTTATGATGAGGAGTATATGATCATGTGGACATACACAACTCAGAAACTGCACACTGTTAAGGCCCTTTTAGTATTAGTCATAGTGAAGCCCTGGAAAGATAATAAATCAAAACAAATAAAATTCAACTTGAGAGGATGATGGCAATAAAACAAAAATGGCTATGAATAAAATGGTTACATACCAAAAGAATGAAGAACATAAAGAACACAAATGTAGTGAAATAAACTGGTCCCAAAACTCTGTTAGCTTCTTCAATCTCTGTAAAGTCAAAATCTCCCAACAGGATGCGGAACTGAGTAAAACTTTAAAGAGAACAACGCAGTTTTAGCCAATAGTTGAATACGTCTCACAAAACTGATTCCACCCCCCTTGTATTCTGGCAGTGGTCTACACCATTCTTTTCAGCATGAAGACAGGTGGCTGGTAGCAACTGCCTAAACAAGTCCAGCCGCAATGCAAATATATCTGCAAATATGGAAGTATTTTATGAAGTTCAGTTGGTTACAGCGTGGTGCTGATAATGCCAAGATTGCAGGTCTGATCCCCATATGGAGCAGCTGCAAATTCCTGCATTGCAGAGGGTTGGACTACATGACCCCCAGGTCCCTTCCAACTCTACAATCATATGGTTCTAAGTTTTGTGTAACGTCAGAGAAATTTATTTGATGCTAGAATTTTGAAAATCCACAAGAAGAACTTCACTAAAACAGACAGAATTTTAACAATGAATTTGATGCGATCTTCTGTGTCCGATGAGGACATTTGGTAAGCCACTGGCAGTCTTTTAAAGATTCTATTGTTGTACTTACACACTGTCCTGGAAGGTACTGAAATCGTCAACTTGTGCACCAAACACAAGGTAAGCTAGCTGAGCATAGGCTATGAAAATGATGAAAAACATAATGGCAAACCCAAGAACATCTTTGGCACATCGTGACATCGTGGTAGATAACTGGCTCATTGTTCGGTTGAAGCTGATAAATTTAAAGAGCTGTCAAAGAACAGAAAAATATTTCATGAGCTGGGTAACTGAGTGAGAGTAGGAAACAGGGAGAAGAATTAGGCTGTTAAACACCGTAAACCACAAAAGAAGGTACATTAAACAATTCTGTAGGCTTGTTCAGACATATTGACAAGCCACGGTTTGTACTAATCATAGACGGACTCTAATTCACAATGTGTGCTCCAGGCAAACACATGGAAGACATGGTTTCTGTGGTTTTCTTCTCCTCCTGCCTTCTCTGTGATTCCCTGGATTCTATTCTAAACAATAGAAGCCAGTCAAACTTTGCAAACCATGGAGTGGTGCAGAGGCTATACCCAACCCTTGTTTGCTGAACCTTTAAATCATGGATTCAGGTCCTGGTTTGTCAGACACTCACAAAGCACAGTGGATTAGAGTGTATTGTTCCAAAATTATGAAAAATGATATCTGGCCCTTACAGCTGAACTATTTCAGAGTGTGGTATGCTAGTACTGTAAAACAAAGTTCAAAGGAACTCTCTGCTAGGTAGCACTAGACACCAAGGATGACACGAGTAGCAGAAAACAGTGTTGTAATAAGTCACTTAGAAAGGAAATTTACATTTAAATCTAATTTTCAAATAGTTTAATCATTCTTTCAAGGCAAAAAGTAGGTGGTCTAGCCAAGTGAGTGTTCTCTTCCTGCCTAGCAACAGCTTTCTTGGATCAACATTAGCTCTTAAAATATGAAGAGTTTCAAAAGCAACTTTGGATTTGATGGATTTTGCCCTTGGTTTGGAATGTTCTCCTTCCTGCTATGAGTCTTATGGTAGGGTAGGGAACAACACATATTTAAAGGAATAAAGCCATGAACAGATTTGGATGTAAATTGATTTATCAAAATAACAAATACAAATTCCCTTAAAAAGATATTAATATATGGGATGAAATGCCTTCATTCACCTGAGTATCAGTTAAGCATGAATTACCTTAATCCAGACGAAAAACATGGTGACAGCTGCAATATTGTTGAACTGTGTTTGCCAGTATGCTAAAGGTTCAAAATTTGGGAAGTTATTTTGATTTTCCAGCAGCTCCTTCAGTAACCTATCCACAGTAGATGTTCGATATATATTAATTCCTATAGCTGCCACCGATAGCTGAGTGCAGAAAAAGAGTACATAAATAATATGGAACATGCATCTCAAAAGAGCATAAGAAGAGCCTGTAACTCTTGTCCAGAAATCTTGTGAGACATAGAACTGCCAAGTCTTGCAATATCTCTCCCTCTCCCATTTCTATGGGATAACTGAGAACTCAACCATCATGACAGCTCACCTTAGAGGTTTTCTTTCCCAGCAAGAGGCACCTGAGGGCAGCTACAGAAGTAGTGCACTGGAAGAGCGCATAGGCACACTGCCTCCTCATGCACAGGGAACTCATGAGACAAATTACCCAAGGTCTGTGCCCATTAGAACTGGTGAGTCAGCCCACTCTTCACATCAATCCACAAGCACTTCTCTCAAAAGACAGCAGTACCACTACTGAAAGATTTGTAGTCCTTAGATCTCACTTACCACAATAATGAGAACATCAAGGCAATTCCAAAGACTCCTGAAATAAAAGAGTCTGTGTATGTGAATTTCCAGGATTTCTTCCACCACGTAATAAAGAATAAAAAGACAAAAGACAATTTCGCAGGCAGCTAGGAAGAAGTCAAAAGTGGAAATGTAGTGGATCAACTTTACAGGCTGGAATTGCCAAGATGTAAGGAGGCCTCCTGTTGGTGGGAACTCCACCAATAACCTGCATTTCAAAAATAAATACATGCATTTCAAAAATAAATACATAAATTCATCTTGTTATTAGTAGCAATTTGTTGTTTTATTGCTCAGGAATCCACCTGGAAGTATTTTTATACTGAAAGAAATTAATTTTATAATAAATAAACGTTTGAAAGACAAGGCTTGGAAACAAACTAAAATGCAAGCAAGCAAAATATATACAGGTAAAGGACCCCTGGAAGGTTGAGTCCAGCCAAAGGTGACTATGGGGTTGTGGTGCTCACCTCGCTTTCAGGTCGAGGGAGCAGGCGTTTGTCCACAGACAGCTTTCCGGGTCATGGGGCCAGCATGACTAAATCACTTCTGTCGCAACGAAACATCATGACAGAAACCAGAGCGCACGGAAACGCCATTTACCTTCCCACCACAGTGGTACCTATTTATCTACTTGCACTGGCGTGCTTTCAAACTGTTAGGATGGCAGGAGCTGGGACAGACCAATGGACGCTCACTCCATTGCAGGGATTCAAACCACCAACTTTCTAATTGGCAAGCCCAAGAGGCACAGTGGTTTAGACCACAGCACCACCTGTATCGTGCTTTTATTTATTAAAAATTACAACCCACTCTTTACTGTTCACCCATCCCAGAGCAAGAAACATTAAAACACTACAGTAAAATACCCTTTTATTTAAAGACAACTTAATGCAAAAGCAGAGTAACATCATTCATTCTACTGTTTTAATATTTTTAAAAAAGATTTTTTCTTCACCGCCCACAAGAATGCTGTACAGGAAATTATTTACAAACAAACTAAAAGTGTTAGCGCCATTTAAAAGTTAACAAGGATGTTACCAATAAGAAATCGTACCGATGTCTAATGTTTTCATGAGTTTTAATTATTGAAAAAAACTCCCTGTAAATGACTTTTTAATGCAATTCATTTTAAATTGCTCTCATTTTACATGAATGCTCTTTACGCATGTGTATATGGTTCTGTATATCTACTGTATATAAAATTACAACATATACACACAGCTGTGTGGGAGGTGAAAGATGTGAATGCAGATCTCACTTTAATAAGGGAGGGTTGCTCAAATGCACCTCTTCAATTTGCCTGTGAAAAAAGCTGCAAGCATTTGAACTCACTGAACTAAACTGTTCTTCAAATGTCAAAGTAACGTCTTTTTAAAAATGACTGATAACATTTCATTTTATGTCCCCTTAATAAAATTCAAGGCACAATTAACTTTTCAGTGTTCCTGCCAGTGTGTTTGCACTATGCCACTTTTCGGCCTCTCCCCATCCCAATGAGCAGCGGCAAATTCACCTGTTGAGAGGTCAGAAGTGCCATTCACTACTACATATATAGTTTGGCTCTAGTTTTCATTTATTTCAATGGTAATTACTTCTGAATAAATACACACAGATGCTCTAAATCAAGCTTACTCAACCTCGGCCCTCCAGATGTTTTTGGCCTATAACTCCCATGATCCCTAGCTAGCAGGACCAGTGGTCAGGGGCGATGGAATTGTAGTCTCAAAACATCTGGAGGGCCGAGGTTGAGGACGCCTGCTCTAAATCTACACAGTGAAAGCAGACACTACCATCTGCTTCATAAAGGCTGTGTTCCATCATCCAACAATTCCAGACTTACCTGATAATGCAGAAGAGATTGATGTTTGCATTGTACACTGAAAAATCTAGAAATGTTGCCCGTGTGCCTCTGTCAAGCCACAAGCTGTTCTTAAGGCCATGAATTAACGCAGATGTCTCCTCTCTGCTTCTGGACAGATCCTGGTAATAGCCAGCTCCACTGTAAGTTGCAAGCAACCCCCAATGGCTGCTTCCATTCAGATCTTTTTCATTGGTATAAATCCAACTGAAATGCAACCGGAAAAGACACATTGAAGAAATTCTTTTCATGCATGTCTACTACTTTGCAGGAAAACCTAATGTAAACTCTTAGGGTTCACAATTCTGACACAGATGGAGGAAATTCCCTCTCAGCCTTTTCTCTCTCCATCAAAATTAAACTGTTGTGGCAGACATGGATGCACCTGAACTATTCAAGAAAACAGGTTGGTGTTTTTTTTCAAATTTACACAGGCTGTTCATATGTTAGCAGAAACAAATTAGTGGTTATGGGATCTCAGGTAAAATACAGTGGACGCTTGGTTTGCGAACATGATCTGTGAGGGATGCACGTTTGCAACCCACAGCATTTGCAACCCGTGTCTGCGCATTTGTGCACGTGTGGGTTGCAATTTGGCACTTCTGTGCAAAGCGTGATTTAGCGCTTCTGCGCATGCACGACCACGGAAACCCGGAAGTAACCCATTCTGGTACTTCTGGGTTTCGGTGGTCCGTAACCCGAAAAAACGCAATCTGAAGCGGCTGTAACCCGAGGTATGATTGTAGTGCTTTTATATGGACTACAGCACAAATTGAATGAAATCTAACAAAGTCCCCCCCACCAGAAGAACTGCCCCCATTTGTGAGATGGATTCCTCCTTCACCCTACAGCCTCCTGCATTCCCCCCAAATCGGCTCCAGATTTCTAGAGTTGGCTATATTTATGTGAGAAAAATACATACGCGGTTCCATTGCGAGGCCCGAACGGTGCAGTGTCCTCATTACTCACAGAGTAAACATCGTAACAGTCTTTAATTTCATCTTTTAAATCTTCAGGTATTGAACACGTGCCATTCCTCACTTTCAGCTGTCGAATGCGAGGCACTCCCAAAAGCAGGTTCTCATGGTAGATAAAACTCCTGTTCTCTGCCACGGTTCTGTTGTTGTACCACATCTCCCAGTACAGGCCATCTAGCAAAGGACCCTCAGTGAACTGAAACAGAATGCAGTTTCAGGGAAATTAACTCTTGCTCAGATTCTGCAGGTTGTTTTTTTTTTTTTAAAGATACAATTTTATCACTGAATAATGTTTTAGAATAGGCATGGTGTAACAATTTCTACTATTACAGCATAATCCTCTGTGTATATCTGTTCATACTATAGAAAACTAGCCCTGTTGATGGCAAGATCTGTTTCCAGGCAATCCAAAGAGAAACTTTTGTATATTGGAGAGAAGTTGGTTTTATCCTAACTAACCCCACCCCACCCTCCCACTATATATAAGGGTCTGGTGACTTCTGTTTCAGTGTATCTGAAGAAGTGTGCATGCATACAAAAGCTTATACCCAGAACAAACCTAGTTGGTCTCTAAGGTGCTACTGGACAATTTTTTTATTTTTTTCCATCTGCGTCAGACCAACACAGCTACCTATATGAATCTTATCCCAACTAAGTCATCATTATGCCACAAGAAATAAGAAGATGAGGTAGTAGTAGTTTCATAACTGGCTTCCTTGAATGGCTGGATTAAATTGTACAGTTAAGTTTTGCCAAATCATACATACCTTTCAACACTGCAATAGACTAAAATTGCCTTAATTTTTTTCCTGATAACACACCATGTACATATTATTTGAACATATTCCTGCTCAAAAACCAAATTCCACAGTACCTTCCAGAAGTCTTCCATTGTAGATAAAGTTTTAAAATTGGTCTTCTCCATTTTTGACACTGGTGTGTCTAGAAAGAGCTGTGACATCACCCTTGTGTAGTAGTACATATTCGAACTCACCATCCCATATGACACTGTAAACACAAGTTGGAAGGGGGGGGGAGTCAAAATGTATTTTTTTAAAAACAACAACAACATACAACCCATACAAGCATCAAACAATATTTTTTTAGGCTGTGTTATGAACACAGTAGGTAAATAAACTTTTAATTCAAACAGTCTATGATTTACCTAGCAGACTCTAATGGGGGTCTGGGTCTGATCCTATACTGATTCATGAATAGGGGGGAGGGAATGCCCACAATCTTGTTGGAACCAAATATATGTGCTGTAGCATCAGTGGCCCCGTTACAGAAAGACCTAAAATATTGTATATATTAACAGTAGCCTTCACCCTTTTTCACCCACCTTTGAACTGAACCCTCATCATGGAATCTACCTTTGACTATTTTTCTGCGCAAGTCCATCTTTGTCCTTCTCTTTCTAGTACTCTCCTCTTTCTCCTGTCCTTTAAAACATTTAAACAAAAGAAAGAAAATGGTGGCACCGCTGCTTATGTAACCCATTTTAGATCATGTCACAACCAAGCTTTGAGCACCTAACTGCTGGCTGGAAGAATACATATTTGATTCCTCCAAATATCTGAACCACAAGCAAATCTAAAAATTGCTCTAATAATTCAAACAAAATGGTCCATACTATCCAAAAATGTTTCTTGCATATATATCTTTTTAAAAAGGGAAAAGGATGGCAACTTCGCAATTTCCATGAAACCGCTTTGGACAGCAATGCATTTCATACATTTACATCTGGTTAATCAGCAGCCTAAGCTGCTGATATGGATAGCCTCTAACAGCAATAAACTTCACAGAAAGCCTGCACTGCAGAACAACAGAGTGCTCTCAGAATATGTTATGTTTCTTTAGGAAGCAATGCTACTGGCGTAAGCACAAATGAGCTTGCACCAGATGTGCTCCGAAAGGGAACAGACTAATAACTTGTCAGTAGCATCTTCTTCACTTTACACATATGCTCTGTTTTGTTGATTTCCACTAGTGAAGAGAGGAAAACAACTCTAAAGTTGTATTAATGAAGATACGGCTTATGAAATATTGTTCTTAACACGCAAAATTATTCCTTAACCCCCCCCCCCAAAAAAAACCTTATCACAGGTAAGGAACTGAACCCAATACAGGACTTCAATTTTGTGAGTGGCAGTGTTGCTTTTGCAAAATCATAATATCATCTGCAATTGAAGTTTGATAGCATAATGTAAGGCTCTCTTTTTCCATAAAAGATGGACATTCATGAATTGTCAAGACAGGTTAGGACATGTGCTATTTCTTTTCTAGGACTATTAACTATGTAGAGCCACACTGAATCAGAGAAAATGTATAACCATTACAGCTGAATAACTAATTTTAGGAACAATGCCAGTCTGTAGTCTTGAAAGAGGAATGCTTTAAAAGCAACAACCCACTAGAACTATACTGAATTACCTGTTAAGAATAACTAGTGGTCATTATTAGTTATCATGTTAAAGTGATAGCAAGAGTCTACTTACAGAAAGACAAGACCAGGAGAAAAATCAAGTACGTGATCAGTTCTCGTAAAACACTTTTCAGATATCTCTCTCTGGTTGTGGTTTCTTCCATTAGGGTAGTACCCCACAGACCTTGAAAAGGAAGCATTAACAGAAAAAAACATAAGAAATGTAACATACTGACATGTTTAACTGTGCCTATACAATCAGGTCAAAGTGTGCATTTGATTTTAATTTGGTATATAAGCTCTGGCATTCATTTCCCTCCTACACAAACTACCAGATCTACCATATATTGCTTTAACATTTTGGGCTTTAACATTCTGGGGCAAGGAGCTATGAGTATGCTGAGGACGCTCCTCTCTGTTTCTCCAAAACATCTGACTTGGTGGATCTGTTGAGACTTAAACATTACACATTACACATAACTGATTGCTGTGTGTTTTAGGTAACGTTATCCTTTTAGGCAACTGCTGCTGGATCTCCTGTAAATATTTTCCATTCATTTAAAATATTGGGACGTTTTGAACAGTACAGATTTTGAGATTAATACATCAGCAACAATGGAAGGTTAAAAAAAAAAAAGAACAATGAAGTAAGGATTTAGCAGCATGTGCTGCCAGAAGTATCTCTCAGATTTAGTACATATGCCAAAACATGACCTAAAATCAAATACAGAAGAAGTGCTTCAGTATGTGACTATAGAAAAGATTAGCCAGCATATTACCTAGTCACAAGAAGGTAATAGAAAACTACTCAACGCCGGGGCTTTTTTTGGGAGGGGTTGAAATTATACAAAATGGTTGGGAATATTTTGCAGGAAAACACTCAACACAAAAAAGCTTAACCTGAATGTCCCACAACTTGCTATAATTAAGCTTGTAACCAAGTCTTGTTTACCTGTCTACCCCTGACTCTACCTTCCAGTGGCTCAATGTCAAATTTTAGTTTGTAAGTTCCTCTGAACAAGGCCCTTTCCCCTTTCATACTCTGTAAAGTGCCCAGTCCACAGAGGACAATGTAAAGAATACATTAACCCAAACAAAAATGGGAGCGAGTGAAACATGGAAAAAATGGCTTATGCAAGCTCATATCACAACAAACCAGCAAATATCTGTCACAGCACTGTTTGCTTTTTTGCTGCTATGGGCTAAGATGGCTCTCCTTCTGGAATCTGTAGCTAGATGGTTATCCTGAACTGGAACAAATGAGCAAATACTGGTTGACTAGGCAACAGAAAGCTTGAAATGTACTCTGACGGAGCTGCAATTCGGAAAACTTGGCAGGGTGCAGGTTTTTTTACATATATAATCAGACACATTGCTTTTCTGCTGTTTTTCCCCTCCAAAAGGTCTCCTGTTCAAAAAAGCAACAACTTAACAATAGTGTATACAACAACTTAACAATATTGTATAAACCATATTGCATGTGGTTTTTAAAGGGATACTGATTCCTGAGGATTTGGAAATCATGCAGTCTATGCCACTGCAATTCTGCATGTACGTTTGCCAGCTTGGAGTCCAAAGTAAAATGTCTACATTTTTTGAGGAGGCTCCCATATAACATCTTTACTGTTAGCTTTGGATTTTCTCTTAGGAACTTGAACAACTTCAATATTTTCTTTTAAAGTAGCCTGGTCTGCAAAAAGTCTTCAGCACAGGGCAAGAAATCTTTTTCATCCCAAACCCATGTGCTTTTCTAGTCAAATACGTATTACCTACTGGTTTGCATGAAATGGTGAAAAACTTTGTTGGAAAACAGTACACGCAGTGTATCCCACATCAGATGCAAACAAAAGTGAACTGCTTTGCTTGGTTTTCCCCATTATAACTAGTTTGGCCCAAAGCGTTACAACTTTTTGAGATAGATTAGCTAGATGGATGAAGGAAAGGTCTGACTGGATAGAAAGTAGCTTCCTGGGCTCTTAATAAAAAAGCAGTAGTAGCAGGAGAGGAGACAATGAGGTGGTAGGGCAGTGGTGTCCAAACTTTTTTCAAGGAGGGCCAGATTTGATGAAGGGAAGGGCCGTGAGGGCCAACCAAAGTTGTTGCGCTGTTTTTAGGATTGAAATTATTGAGCTTTTTTTTAGGGTTGAAGTTGTTGCGCTTTATTTAGGATCGAAGTTGTTGGGGTTTTTTTTAGGATTTTACCCCATAAACTGCCGAAGGGGCACCCAAAACGGACTTTGGACATGCCTGCATGCCTGTGGTAGAGCCTTTGGCCAACAAGGGAATCAAAGGTGTGCGAAAGGAGATTGCAGAGGAGCTGAATGGATTGTAATAAAAGTAATAAGGTGAGGCAGGAGAGATGCGAGCCGGGAAGGGCGACAGAAGGGCCCGGCCGGGCGGCCACTCACCTCGCAGGCGGTGCGCCATCCCTTTGGCCCAGGCGAGGCGGCGAGGCGGCGGCGGCGGCTGCTCGGCGACCTCCTCGCCCGCCTCCTCGTGAGGGAAACGCGGCGTCGGCGTCGGGGCGCCTCCGGCGGAGCAAGGCCTCTGGCCTTCGCCCTCCTCCTCTTCGCCGCGCCGCCTGCGCCTCCGCTGCCTCCCGCTCTCGGCGGGCCCTCCCGGGCGCCGGGCGTCGGGCTCCGAGGGCGAAGGCGCCCCTCCTCGGCCCCACTCCACCACGCCCATCTGCAGCACGGGCCCCGCCGCCACCGCCGCGCTCCCGCCAGCCGCCCTGGCCGCTTCGCCCGCCTCCTCCTCGGGCTCGAAGCCCGGGTTGTCCCGGCTCCAGGCCTGCCTCGAGCAAGACGAGAGCGGCGGCGACGGCGAGCAAGACGAAGGAGGAGGAGAAGGAGAAGAAGCGCCGACGACGACTCCGCCGCCGCTGCCCAGCGGGTCCCGCAGCCGCCCCAGCTCCAGGTGCTCCAGGCCGCCGGGAGGGCAAAGTCCCGCCATGGCCCCCCGACCCTGGACGAAGGCCGCCGCCTCCGCCTCAGAAATTTTCTCTCAGGCCGGCCGAGTAACGGCGCGGGAAGGGAGCGCCTTCGCCTTCTCCACCGCCCGCCTTCCAGCCCCCCATCCCCGCCCACAGGGGGAAGCGGGTAGGCCGGGCTGCGTGTGTCCCTTGGCCGGGAAGCTGCGGGGAGGGGAAGAGCTGCGCTCCCCGGACAGCCAGGAGCTCCTGCGGCTCCTTCCGAATCTAATAGGAGTTTTGTTTTGTTTTTGTCTCTCTTTTTCTGCAATTTGAGCTGCTGACACAGCCCCGTCCTCGCCTCCTGTTAGGATTACCCCGGGGGATCCCTTTCCAAGGTTCCTCTAGTCCGGGGATTTTTCAATTTCCAAGAGACTGCGATCTACTCCTACTAAAAAACAACAACTGGCAGTGATCTACCCATTGTATTGACCAAAGTTGTTGAGATTTTTTTGGGAGAGGAAGTTGTTGAGTTTTTGCTTTGTTTTTGTGGGGTGACCGATCAGGATCACACGGTCGACCAGGGACGCCCCGCAATCAACCGGTAGATCGCAATAGACCTGCTGGACATCCCTGCTCTAGTCTGTTATAGAATTCTCAGATACAGAATTAAGTTTTGATAATTTCACAATGTGAAGACACACACATAGGTATATAAACCCCATTAAAACAGTACAGGAGAGCAATTCAAAAGCCATCTTGGCTCTCCCTAAAGACTCTAAATCAGTGGTTCCCAACCTTTCTTTGGCTGTGCCCCACCTAAGCATCTCTAAAATCCTGATGTCCCCATCTGTGGCATATAATTCTTATTATTCAAAAAGTGAACTCCTGTTCACGTGGAGGAAGCCTAAAAGGCCATTAACGGTTAATAATTCATTCTTGAATTGTCCCCCTTAAAAATTGAATTGCTCCTCTGTGGGGTTTGTGCCCCATGTTGGAAACCACACTCTCAATATTTCCTCTGCCTTCTTAATCCCCCTTGCCAGAGAACAGGTAGGCAGATAGCAATCAGGCGAAGTTCCTGAATGGTATTCCTCTCTTATGCAGTGGTACCTTGGGTTACATACGCTTCAGGTTACAGACTCCGCTAACCCAGAAATAGTGCTACAGGTTAAGACCTTTGCTTCAGGATGAGAACAGAAATCATGCTCCGGCGGCGTGGCAGCAGCAGGAGGCCCCATTAGCTAAAGTGGTGCTTCAGGTTAAGAACAGTTTCAGGTTAAGTACGGACCTCCGGAACGAATTAAGTACTGGTACTTAACCTGAGGTACCACTGTATCTATGAAGCTCCTTTGTATGAATTATTGTTTGCCCAGATGCTCTGCATTGAGGGATGTCTGACAGGCATCCTGATTATCTTATCAAATGCTAATGTTTTGTGTAAACTGTGTCTGGAACTATGTAAAGCTTGTTAAATCCTCAGGAATATCACATCTTGGCCTGCCTGAGCCACAGTAACCCCACCTTACGTGTGATATAATTTCTGACCGTACAGTACAGGGGGTGTCCTCCTTCTCCATGCCAAAACGCAAACCCTTAAAAGAGATGTTTCTTCTTGGTTCTGGGTCTCTCATGCCTCCTTCCTAGGAGGGGAGGAAACTCTGTCGCAACAGAAAAATAAAGATCTGCCTTGCTTTCCCTGCATCCTGCCTCCATCCATTCATCTCTGACCGATCATGGACTTAGGGGACTCAGTCCCTTGGGGAGTTGGGCAGCAAAAGCCAACCACCCCTATTTTTTCTATATCAATGCGGGGATCTCAGCTAAAGCATCCATAGCAGATGGCCATCCAACCTCTGCTTAAAATCCTCCAAAGGAGAGTCCACAACCTCCCGAGGGAGAGACTGTTAATAAAAAAGGGTCCAATTTAACTTACTTCCTTTCATGTTTCTTATGTTCAATGTTTTCCATTAGTGCCAAGTCTCACATTCTTTGGTCCCCAGTTTCAATAGATGGTTGTTGGCCTGCTGGTTGGTGCTTTTTGTGTTTTTAAACAGATCAACATGCCTGAGTGTGTTTTGGTGTACTTTGGAAAATAGACAACACTGCTCATTTAGATAGCATTTTATTTCAAGTGTTAAAATCATTAAATGTGAATCACACAGAAGACTCTCTGGTTTTTCCCCCCTTTCTTTTTATGATGAAAATGAAAATGAGCTACACAGAAAGGCTTGCATTGCTTTAGTGGAAATGAGAACTAAAAGGCTTCAATTTGTTTATATAACAAAGCCTGTTGTATTTGGATCTTTACTAACTGAAATCAAACTCATTCTTGAAAATAAATGTTGACGTGAAAACAAGTTTCCCATCTGCCTAGCTGAGAAAAAGAATATTACTGATTTCTGTCCACATTTTAATGTTAATCTTCCTTGCTTTGAAAGCAGAAATTTCATTGTCAATGCTAGGCAGTTTCAAAGACCTCTGATGATAGTAGTTATGTTAGAGGCACAGGTTTCATATTAGACTTCTACACTTCAAACTTCAGCTTCCTCACTGTCCTGGAAATCCCCGAAGACATCGGCTGACGGTTCACTTTCATCAAAGACCTGTCAAAAATATAATAAAATTACCATATTGCCCCAAATATAAACCACACTTCCCCCACAAATTCTGACCGTGAAAAGTTAAAGAATTTATAGAATTCTATGGTTCTATGAAATCCTCAGATACTGACTTACACATACAATCATGCAATCAACAAAAACTGCTGTGATAGCACACAAGGCAAGAAATGAGCATCTCTCCTAAAACCAATGGTTGAACTACTAGAATGCATTTACTGCTAATAAATTAAACAGTCAACACGAAGAGCGTGACGACTTAGAAGCCGTGACCCACCAGTTGAAGCCTGATGGGCTAAAATCTACCTGTAGTTGTGATCATTGAGGTGCACCCCTGGGGGAAAGTAAGCTAAGAATATTCTATTGCCTAGAATTTCTAAATTTTCCTTATTTGTTATAGCAGTTATCGCTGAGCTACCCAGTGTGTGTGTATGCCTAAAGCAGTCATTTAAAATCTTAGGATACTTACATTTGTGCTTCTATAGGTAATAATACTTTATCTCAAAAAGCTAAAACCAGCAGAGGGCTAAACTTTAGCCATACTGACTATTGGCATTCTCACAGCCAATGCCAAAGTGATGCTTATAATGAACTAACTGAAGCAGAGTTAGATTTCTATGTTGTAATTTTTACCTGTTGCTCAGCAACGTTAGTGTTTTCTTCTGTTAAAAAGGATACCTGTAACAAAACAACATCAACCCAGTATATTACTGTTATATCTGTAGAGTTCTGCCAGATGCAAAACTTTGGTGCTGCCCTTTTTAAAGCAACTCCCTTTCTCTTGTCAGGAAAGAGGGTTAAAGGTGGTTTAGAGTTCCAAGGACACTATAGTTAATGTGAACTGCTTTCCATTGTAATCATGGTTGCAAACTAATTTCAAACCATTAGGGAAGGACTGGAGTTCATTAGTATATTACTGGTTTTGCATAGGGGGATGCAGAGGTACGCATACCCCTAAACATTTTGTGAATTCAGTTTGGCTTCATTGAGGGGCAATATTTCAATATGAGTAGGAAAATGAGAGTACCCCTAAACATTTTTTTAAAGAAAAAAGCACTGAATATATGCATTTTTAAGCACACTGTATATGCATTTTTATACACCTTCCTTGGCTGGGGTCACAAAATTCAGAGAAGTGTGAATTTCAAAAGATTGCTCTGTTTCAGGTCATGTATTGTGTTGGAAAGTATGAATTAAGGAGGCTTGCCTTTAAATGTGAATGGGAATGGATTTCTCCACCAGCTCTAGTCCCAGATTCAATCCTAGGCATCTCCAGGTAGGGCTGGGAGAAAAAGCTATCCAAAATTTTGGTGAGTCACTACTAGTCTTTGTAGACAATGGTGTGCTAGGTTGACCAATGATCTGACACTGTACAAAGCAACTTTCTGGGCTTCAAATTCTGTGTGTGTGCATGTGATTATGTGTTTCTAAGGGAACCATGGTTAGTGTTAAACCTGGTTAGCATTGGTGCACCAGCAGTAATCAGCAAAGGCAAGGAAGGGAATTTTTATTTAGAGGGGAAGGAGAGAAAAAGGAGTCACATGCACAAGGTTAGTTCCCAATTTGTAAACCATGGTCTGCTCTGTTTTGTATCTGCTAAAGACCTTGACAACTAATCCTGTAAGTTACTCATGAACAAGTTATTCATAGCACCACACACTCACTGTACAATTCTCTATAAGAAAGCTTACTTGTGGTTCAATCTTCTCTATAGCTTCATCCGAAGAAGGAGCACTCTGAAACAGCAAAATGGATAATGTTAAAAGCTATGTCTATGACAAGGCTGCCTGAAACATAGTGCAAAGGTCAAACAACACATTGGTTAAGTTGAAAAAACCCAAATACAGTTGTACCTTGGTTGACTAACATCTGGCGAGTCAAATGTTTTGGCTCCCGAACGCCGCAAACCCGGAAGTGACTGTTCTGGTTTGTGAACTATTTTTGGAAGTCAAACACTTGATGGGGCTTCCAATTTTGGAAATTGAATGGATTTCCAGAATGGATTCTGTTTGACTTCCAAGGTACGACTGTATACTGAATGTTACAGTTGTGCATGAGTGCCAGCCCTGACATCAAAGAGAGAACTCTGAAATAATAATAAAAACAAAATTCTTGTTTGTGTGGCATCGTATCTTCACCGATAGAAACATAATAAAACCTTTGAACAAAAATGTGTTCATGTCAAGTTGATTGATTGCAGTAGTTAATTGAAGCAACTTAACCATAGTCTATTCTGTAAAAACTCAGTGCGATAAGTTACTAGATAAGATGTTAGATTCCAACTGACATCAGGAGAAGCATCACCATCAATGGTCAAGGCAGATGGGAACTGTAGTCCAACAACAGCTGGGGGGCAAAAAAACTCCCCATCCCTGATCTAGAGGGAAGCATTCCTACTGCCATTTTACTTCAAAAAAATGGAAGGAGAAGAAGTGTTTAGAAAAATGTAAATGATAATACTGAAAGCAGTGTCTTGCCTAAAACCAATCTAAGCATAATGGAAGCTTCTTATAATGAAATACGAAAAGGGAAAGTCCCAACTTTATTAAATGTTGCTGTATTACCTCTTTGTTAACCTCTGTCAGGTCCAAAGCAGATGAGTTCAGAAAATCAAGAGTGTGGAAAGTCATATTTCTCCTGACAACAGCACAATTGTCTTGTTAAAAATTATTTATGTGAAAAGGGCCCCATCTGGGCTGATTACTCTTAGATTGTTGAATCAGTGTACAGGTGGTGGGAGAGGGCAGGTGTATCTACACTTCTAGTTCAGAGTGTAGTGTAGTAACAAACAGCACAACCCTAAACATGTCCATTCAGAAGCAAACCCTATTGAATATAGTATGGCTTACTCCCAGGTCAATGAGGTCAGGACTACAACCTTTTTAGCTATCACATCAGCAAATAACTCCTATCCATAGCAAAGAAAGGTATTGCCATATTTCCTCATATCACTGGTCATGTTATTGCTTCCAATATATATATATATGTTTTGTTATCATGTTAGAAGTCATAATTCTACCAATGATGGCCCTGCACCTGTGGATACTTTTTTGCTCTATTTCTCCAGAGTTCAACAGCAAAGAAACTTTACATACCTGAGAATCTTCTGCTGGAGCTTGCAGTTGTTTGACAGCAGGGTGGTTTTCAGCATCCTGGGCATAGAAAAAGAACCAAAACCTGTATTTTTTTCCACCACATCAGTGCAGAACTTAATAAAAGCAACAGAGGGTCATGGTTTATCTAACCACAACTGGAAGAGCACAGGTTCCTGTCTCTGCTCTGCGAGGAACCATTCTTACAACCAGTGCTATTTTTCTAGAAAAAGGGGTGCCGGAACTCGCCATGAATGCCTCCCTTGTTATCTTACAAGGGCAATCATGGCCACCAGAGATCTCTGAGCCAGTGAATTCAGGCTGAAAAATCCCCCTGCTTACAACTCAGATAGGAACCTTTTTACTTCAAAAAATGTGATAAAAGACATCATTAGAAGAAACATAAATGGCAATATTAAACGGGGTATCCAATCTAAAACCGATGAAAGCATAATTAAAGCTGCTAATATATAAGGAAAGGGGAAGTTTCAACTTATTAAATGCTGCCATTTTACCTCTTGGTCATCCTCTCTGGTGTCCGAAGCAGGTGAATTCTGAAAATCAGGAGTGCAGAAAGTTAGTTTCTCCTCGCAAAAGCACAATTTTCTGATTAAAAATGATTTATGTGGAAAGGGCCCCTATTTTGATTGATTGCCTCACTGCTTAGATGACAAATGGGTCCATACATCTAGTTCAGTGTGTAATGTAGTAACAAACAGCACAGTCCTATAAGACTTCCTGTGAAGTGCCAAAATCTTCATTTGTCATCATGCATGAAGTGGTCCATAAGGCTGATCTATTAGATGTTGTAAATTCTTGATAAGTAAGGGGGAACCTGGGGCTTTCCAGACGTTGTTGGAGTCCAGTTCCCATCAGGCCCAACAGCAAGGCCAATGGTCAAGTATGATGGGAATTGTAGTCCAACAGCAGCAGGAGGGCCACAGATTCACCATCCTGGCTCTAGATGGAAACATTCCTACAACTATTTTACTGCAAAAAATATTTATTTAATAAGGTGCTGGAAGAAATGTAAATGAAAATACAGTGGTACCTCGGGTTACATACACTTCAGGTTACATACGCTTCAGGTTACTGACTCCGCTAACCCAGAAATATTACCTCGGCTTAAGAACTTTGCTTCAGGATGAGAACAGAAATTGTGCAGCGGCGGTGCAGCGGCAGCAGGAGCCCCCATTAGCTAAAATGGTACCTCAGGATAAGAACAGTTTCAGGTTAAGAACAGACCTCCAGAACGAATTAAGTTCTTAACCCGAGGTACCACTGTACTGAAAGTAGTGTCTTGCCTAAAGACAATCAAAGCATGATGGAAGCTGCTTTTAATTAACTACGAAAGGGGAAAGTTCCAAGTTTATTAAATGCTGCCATCATACCTCTTGGTCAACCTCTGTCAAGTCCAAAGCAGGTGAGTTCTGAAAAGGAAGAGTGTGGAAAGTCATATTTCTCCTGACAAGTGCACAGTTTTCTGATTAAAAAAGATTTATGTGGAAAGGGCCCCCATTTGGACTGATTGCTCTCAGATTTCTGCACCACTGCTTAGATATGGCCCACATCAGCAAGTCATAAGATCACAGCAAGGAAAAGTCTTGCCATAGCTATTGCTTCAAATATTTGTTTGCTTGTTTGTTATCATGTTAGAAGTCATAACTCCACCCTTGATGACCCTGAAGACCTTGTGGTTACTTTCCTTCTGCGTTTCTCCAGATAGCTCACTGGCAAAGAAACTTTACATACCTGAGAAGCTTCTGCAAGGGACTGCAGTGGTTTGAAAACAGGTTGACTTTCAGCATCCTGAGCCGAAGAAAAAAAACAGGAACAAAAATCCATATTCAAAATGAAACTTTTCCATTTGTAATGTTCTCTCCACCACACAAATGAGCAACTTCATAAAAGCAACAGAGAGCTGTCCCACTCATAACGTGTCTTATTTTATACTTGTCCTCATGTAAAGTGTGAACTGTCCCATAAGCTTGGCGTATTAACTACAGTGGTGCCCCGCAAGACAAATGCCTCGCAAGACGGAAAACCCGCTAGACGAAAGGGTTTTCCGTTTTTGAGTTGCTTCGCAAGACGAATTTCCCTATGGGCTTGCTTCGCAAGATGAAACGTCTTGCTAGTCTTGCGATTTCCCCCCCGCTCCTCCCCTTTTTCTAAGCCGCTAAGCCGCTAATAGCCTTTTAGCAGCTAAGCCGCTAAGCCTTTAATAGCCGCTAAGCCGCTAAACCGCTAATAGCGCTAATCCACTAAACCGCTAATAGGGTTGCTTCGCAAGACGAAAAAACCGCTAGATGAAGAGAATCGCGGAACGGATTCTTTTCGTCTTGCGAGGCACCACTGTATTCTGGACTCTAGATAAGGAATGGGGAACCTGTGGCTCTCCAGATGTTGTTGGATTTCAACTCCCATCAGGCCCAGCATCTGCATCAATGGTGAAGGATGATGGGAACTGTGGTCCAACTACAGCATGAGGGCAACAGGTTCTTATCCCAGGCAGAGGGCCTTCTCGGTAATGGCGCCCTCCCACCAGATGTCAAAGAGAACAACAACTACCAGACTTTTAGAAGACATCTGAAGGCAGCCCTGTTTAGGGAAGCTTTTAATGTTTGATGTATTACAGTATTTTAATATTTTTTTGGAAGCCGCCCAGAGTGGCTGGGGAATTATTATTATTATTATTATTATTATTATTATTATTATCCCTGCCATAGATGAAAACATTCTGACAACTCATGACCAAACATTTAAAATTCAAAAATGTGATTAAAAAAGACCATCAGAAGAAACATAAAGGTAAAGGGACCCCTGACCATTAGCTCCAGTCGTGACCGACTCTGGGGTTGCAGCACTCATCTCGCTTTATTGGCCAAGGGAGCCGGCGTACAGCTTCCGGGTCTTGTGGCCAGCATGACTAAGCCGCTTCTGGCTAACCAGAACGGCACGGAAACGCCGTTTACCTTCCCGCCAGAGCGGTACCTATTTATCTACTTGCAGTTTGAAATGCTTTCGAACTGCTAGGTTGGCAGGAGCAGGGACCGAGCAATGGGAGCTCACCCCATCGCAGGGATTCGAACCGCCGACCTTCTGATCGGCAAGTCCTAGGCTCTGTGGTTTAACCCACAGCACCACCCGCGTCCCTTAGAAGAAGCAAATGATATTATTGGAAGAGGGTCTTACCTATAAACAATCAAAACATAATGGAAGCTGCTTATAATTAACTATGACAGGCGAAGGTTCCAACTTTATTAAATGTTGCCGTCTTACCTCTTGGTCAACCTCTGTCAAGTACAAAGCAGGTGAGTTCTGAAAATCAAAAGAGTGAGGAAAGTCACATTTTTACTGTTGAGCTGTGGATTGCTGCCTTGATGCAGAGAACTGTTTTGCCATTATCAATGAAATTTACACCTTCTTTTCATCAACCACAAAGAGATGGGCAGACCTGAGTCTAAAATGCCCAAATATTTGTCAGACACTAGGTGGAATGCACATGCAAAAGCCACAGAAGCAGTTTTGGAAAGTTACAGTGCTATCACTAATGCCCTCAGTCATTTGTACTCTGATGTTAAAGGGAAGGAGGAGACCAGGCTTCAAGCTAATAATCTTTTGCAGAAGATGGAAGAACTGGAATTTGTGTTTATGCTGCATTTTTGGACCCGTGTGCTAGGTCATTTTCACAAGGTCAGCAAAGCCCTTCAGAAATCAGACCTGTTACTGAGTTCTTGTGCAAGTTTGTACAGTTCACTTCTGGATTTTAGAAGGGAAATTAGAGAAGATTTTGATGAGCTTGAGAAACAAGCAAAAGCCACCTTGCCAAATGTTAACTACAAAACAAGGAGACAAAGACTGAGGCAAAGAAATGAAAAAAAGTGCACCTGATGCCTTAGATGCACTTTCTTCAAGAGATAAGTTTAGGATAAAATCCTTAATTCCTATATTAGATGCACTTGAAGCCAATTTAAAAAGAAGAAGTACTGTGTACAGTGATGTTGCACAATTGTTTTCCATGCTTGCTAATCTGACAGCATCTAAGCAAGAAATTCAGCAATGTGTTGAACTGTTAATGGAAGCATACCCAGAAAATACTGACCTGAAACTTCTTGATGAACTCTTGCACTTCCATCTGTATGTGAGACAAAGCCATGGGCTTACAGCAAAGCACTCTCTGTCTCATACAGACCTTTCTCAAATTATAGACAAGGAAAAAATTCAGCTGGCCTTTGCTAATGTGGAAACAACTTGGGGCTATTTCTTAGCTTTATGGTCACTAACTGCTCAGGAGAGAGGAGTTTTTCAAGACGCAAAAGAATTAAAAATGAATTAAGGGCCACAATGTCTCAAGAGAGGTTGTCTGCACTGAGCATTTTGTACATTGAAAGTGATAAACTTAGACAAACAAATTTTGATGAAGTTTTGGATGATTTTGCTATGAGGAAGGCTAGAAAAAAACATTTTTAGTCTTACTGTATTTGATGGTTGTAGTTTACTTCTTAATATGTATTTTAAAACTGACTGTTTAATGAAGACATAAAGTAGATTCTAAAAGTGCCACACTGTCAGGTAACCATGATCATATTACCGTATTTTTCCGTGTATAAGACTATATTTTTTCCTAAATTTTTGAAGTTTAAAAGAAGGGGTTGTCTTATACACGTGTTATACCTGGAAAGATACGGTATTTACACTTCCCAGGCAATATAATCCATAAACTCAAGGTGGTTTTTTATTTTTAAGAATAACATTACAACTTCATTTTCCTAAAAAATAATTCTTATTCCACAAAAGGTTTACAAAGTTCAGCTACTGCAAAAGTTTTTCAGTGTTAATTTTAACATTTATGCATTTTTAAAAACCACCATGGTATTTAACAATAGTATCTTATGTCCTTTAGAAGAGAAATTGTGAATTGCAGAATTTTAAATACCTGTCATATCCTTGGCTTCAATTTTGTTTATAGCACTCTTCCATTTTCTTCTAGTCGTGAGGGTAGGGGATTGGGAGGGGCATCACAAGTAAGAGTAGCCTAGGGCCCCTCTAAATCTGGCCCTGGTTTTCGTGTCAGAAGTCATAATTCTACCAATGACGACCCTGAATCTTGTGGATACTTCCTTGCTATATTTCTCCAGAGAGTTCAACAGCAAAGAAACTTTACATACCCGAGAACCTTTCGCTGGAGCTTGCAGTTGTTTGTCAGCAAGACGGTTTTCAGCATCCTGCTTCTACAAAATGCAGAGAAAACCTGTAGCGTGGAAAGTCTTATTTCTCCTGACAATGGCACAATTGTCTGATTGAAAATGATTTATGTGAAAAGGGCTCCATTTGGACTGAAACCTATCCATTCTGAAGGAAATCAGCCCTGAGTGCTCACTGGAAGGACAGATCCTGAAGCTGAGGCTCCAATACTTTGGCCACCTCATGAGAAGAGAAGACTCCCTGGAAAAGACCCTGATGTTGGGAAAGATGGAGGGCACAAGGAGAAGGGGACGACAGAGGACGAGATGGTTGGACAGTGTTCTCGAAGCTACCAGCATGAGTTTGACCAAACTGTGGGAGGCAGTGGAAGACAGGAGTGCCTGGCATGCTCTGGTCCATGGGGTCACGAAGAGTCGGACACGACGAAACGACTAAACAACAACAAGCTTTAGATTTCTGAATCAGTGCTTAGGTGGTGCGAGAGGGCAGGAGTGTCTACACTTCTAGTTCAGAATGTAGTATAGTAACAAACAGCACAATTCTAAGACTGCCCACTCAGAAGTAAGCTCTACTGAATGCAGTGTAACTTAATCCCAGGTTAATGGTGCCAGGATTGGAGCATTCGTAGTTGTCACATATGGGCCACACCAGCAATTAAATCCTACCTATAGCAAGGAAAAATCTGGCTATATTTCCTCATATTAATGGTCAAGTTATTGCTCCAATTTTATTATATTTTTTGTTATCATGGTAGGAGTCATAATTCCTGACCCTGAACCTTGTGGATACTTTCCTGCTATATTTCTCTGGAGAATTCAACAGCAAAGATACTTTACATACCCGAAAATCTTCTAATAGAGCTTGCAGTTCTTTGACAGCAGAATGGTTTTCAGCATCCTGAGCCTACAAAAAAGAACCAGAAACTGTATTCAGAATGAAACTTTCCCATTCATAATGTTCTCTCCGCCACATAAGAGTGGAACTTAATAAAAGCAACAGAAGGTCATAATTTATCCAACAACATCTGGAAGACGTCAGGTTCCTATTCCTGTTCTGGGGGGAACATGCTTATAACACAGATAGGAACTATTTTACTTCAAAAAATGCAAAGAAAGAAACATACCGTATTTTTCTCTCTATAAGACACACTTCCCCCCCTCCTTAAAAGTAAGGGGAAATGTGTGTGAGTCTTATGGTGCGAATGCAGGCTGCGCAGCTATCCAAGAAGCCAGAACAGCAAGAGGGGTCGTGAAAGCAGCGATCCCTCTTGCTGTTCTGACTTCCCTTCGCTTCTCTCTCTGTGCAGCGCCTCTTCAGTGCTGGAGGGGCGCTGCACAGAGAGGGAGAGAATATTTTTTTTCTTGTTCTCCTCCTCTAAAACTAGGTGCGTCTTATGGTCGGGTGTGTCTTATAGTGCAAAAAATATGGTAAATGGTAATATTGAAAGGGGTATCCGACCTAAAACTGATGAATGCGTAATGAAAGCTGCTACTGTAATGATTAAACAAGAAAAGACAAACGTTTGACTTTATTGAATTCTGCCATCTCACCTCCTGGTCATCTTCTCTCACGTCCAAAGCAAATGATTTCTGAAAATCAAGAATGCGGAAAGTCATATACCTCCCAATGAAAGCACAATATTCTCATTGGAACATTATTTATGGGCCCGTTTGGACTGATTGCTCTTAGTTTTCTGCATCACTGCTTAGGTGGTGAAAGATTCCACACTTCTTGTTCTGTATGCAATGTAGCAACAAACAGCACAATCCTAACCATGTTCACACAGAAGTAAGCCCAATTGAATTCAACAGGGCTTACTCTCAAGTAAGTGGGGTCAGGGTTGCAGTGTTATTAGCTATCACATATGGCCCACATCAACAATAAAATTGTATCCGTAGCAAGGAAAAGTCTAGCCATAATTCCTTAGATTGTGGGTCAAGTGATTGCTCCAAATAATATTTGTTTTGTTATCAAGTTAGAATTCACAATTCCACCAATACAGTGGTGCCTCGCAAGACGAAAATAATCCGTTCCGCGAGTCTCTTCGTCTAGCGGTTTTTTCGTCTTGCGAAGCAACCCTATTAGTGGCTTAGCGGATTAGCACTATTAGCGGTTTAGCGGCTTAGCGGCTATTAAAGGCTTAGCGGCTTAGCGGCTAAAAGGCGCTTAGCGGCTTAGAAAAAGGGGGGGGAGCGAAAAAAAATCGCAAGACTCGCAAGACGTTTTCGTCTTGCAAAGCAAGCCCATAGGGAAAATCGTCTTGCGAAGCAACTCAAAAACGGAAAACCCTTTCGTCTAGCGGGTTTTTCGTCTTGTGAGGCATTCGTCTTGCGGGGCACCACTGTATACTGCTGAATGTAGGGATAAATCTCAGCAGTTCATTGAACAAATTACTTTGGTCAGAAAATAGAGATAGAGTCAAAAGACTAAAATTTGGCTAATTAAAACATAGTTAAATATGCTTTTGATAGAACTGATAAGGAGTTAAGTCATTTCAAACATTTAGTTTGGGGCGGGATGTTATATTCCATGAATTCCATAGTATTAAATATAAAGAGCCCTTCTGAGTCAGATCAAGACTCTTAGGGCGGATCTACACTCGCCGTTTATAATGTTAAATGTGTGTTATTAAAATGTGACACCAGAGGGCACTGCAGAGCAGCGAGCCACCGGCGATGGAAAACTGCCATTAAGCGGTATAAAACGTTACATTTTATAACGTTTAGAAGATCAGTGTAGATCCAGCCTTAAATTGGCCAGTTAGATGCTTCCAGGAGGCCAACATGCAGGGTTCAAAGGCAAGAGCTCACCTTGATTGTTTACCCATTAGCAACTGGCACAATACAGAGCTGCCATTTAGCTGTCATGGCTGACACACCATTGACTTATTCTCATTTAACAATTTCTAAGCCAGTAGTGGGGAACCTGTGGCCATAATAATAATAATAATAATAATAATAATAATAATAATAATAATTTATTTATACCCTGCCCATCTGGCTGGGTTTCCCCAGCCACTCCGGGCGGCTTCCAACAAAATATTAAAAATACATCAAAACATCAGTCATTAAAAACTTCTCTAAATAGGGCTGCCTTCAGATGTCTTCTAAAAGTCAAACAGTTGTTTATTTCCTTGACATCTGATGGGAGGGCGTTCCACAGGGCGGGTGCCACTACCGAGAAGACCCTCTGCCTGTTTCCCTATAACTTCGCTTCTCACAGTGAGGGAACCGCCAGAAGGCCCTCGGCACTGGCCTACCAGATATTGTTGCCCTTCAACTCCCATCGTGCCTGGCTGCTGGCCATTTTGGCTGTGCTGCATAGGAACTCAGCGCCCAACAGCACGTGGCTGGACACAGGTTCTCCACCCCTGTTCTAAGCCAGCAACCCACCTGATATAGCTCATTTGATATGCTTGTTCTGTGCAATGCACATAACTTTGTTTTGACCATCCTGAGTCTACCACCTGCATTTTAAGTACATGTGTGAATGAGAGGGAAAGGGGGAAATATCTCTATTTCAGTGGAGGGGAAGTTTCACACACCGGTGTTTTCAGCGCCCGAGTGCTCTTGGAAGTAGGCTTATCTTCAGAATCCTTCAAACACAGAAAAAATAAAAAATATCAGCAATACTTCAAAATGAAACTGCCATGCCCTAGTATTTCAATATTTCATTCACAACCAGGGACGGATTTAGGTTTGATGAAGCCCTAAGCTACTGAACGCATTGGGGCCCTTTATATGTCCAGCTGTCCTTTGTCAACAACAAATTGTCACTGTTTTTTGTGTTGAATATATGCTATATGGTAATTTATGGACCTAATAGGTATCTAAAGCCATTTGCACATAACAAAATATGTATTTTATCAAAGTAATTGTTGAACTGAAATACAATTAAGAAGAGGTATATTAATAGTGAAATTTTTTGGGGGGACCCCCAAGAGAGTGGGGCCCTAAGCTATAGCTTGTTTAGCTTATACGTAAATCCAGCACTGTTCACAACACACTGCTGTGTTTTAGTAAAAAACCTTTTGGTGGAAACATAAATGATTTGGTGGCTGAAACGCCTGTTTTATTGATAATAGGCCTGTTCAGTTTGCTAATTTCAAAGTCTGAAGTGGCCCATAAGGTAAAAGCAAAGGGACCCCTGACCATTAGGTCCAGTCGTGACCGACTCTGGGGTTGCGGTGCTCATCTCGCTTTATTGGCCGAGGGAGCTGGCGTACAGCTTCCGGGTCATGTGGCCAGCATGATTAAGCCACTTCTGGCAAACCAGAGCAGCGCACGGAATCGCCGTTTACCTTCCCGTCAGAGCGGTACCTATTTATCTACTTGCACTTTGACGTGCTTTCGAACTGCTAGGTTGGCAGGAGCAGGGACTGAGCAACAGGAGCTCACCCCGCTGCGTGGATTTAAACCGCTGACCTTCCGATCGGCAAGTCCTAGGCTCTGTGGTTTAACCCACAATATAGGTTGCAGTAGTTATCGTTGGCCTGCTTTGGACTATTTATGAAGTGCCGAGAGCTTGGAGCTTGAGAGAGTACAGGGAGATGTAGAGGCAGAAGCACTCAAGACTCATGTATGAAGCACCAAGCAATGATATTGCATTATATCTGATCCACGTCTTTAAAACCTGAAGCTGAACAATTAAATGGGCTCTATCAGAACATTAACAATGAAAGGAGGATCTGTAACTGAGCCCGTGAAACCATTCTGAAATATTGCAGTTATAAACCACTTAGAGGAGGAATGTCCCAGTTGTCGTGAAATAGAATCCTTTTCGTTTTCTTGCCTTATCTTCCTTGGTTTTCCCGCTCCCAACATTAGAAGGATGGTCCTGAAAACAAATATCAAAAACTAGTACAGTATGTGAAAAACAATATGATGTTTTCTTTCCCATATTAGTTCAGTGTGTTATAGGTTTGGGGGAGACACTCTGAATGATAGCTGTGGGTCTGTTCCTAACCTGTGACCCTGTATTTGTGAGTTTAGCATCGAGTAGAAGAAACCTGTCAAAGCAGTTCCTTTGTGAAATAGTAACTCTCTTGGTTCCTTACCTTTTCTTCCTTGGGTTTGTCGCTTTCAGCTTTAGAAAAATGCTCCTGAAAATAAAAATCAAACACTAGTGTGTGTGTTGGGAAAATGCATCTCACAATATGACGTCATCTTTCAGAGAGACAGAAACATGGCTGATCTGTGCTGGACCTGAAATGGTGGCTTGGGACTTCCCTGCAAACCAACTGGGGAAGGAAGATCTGTTGGGGTGTTCATGCTGTGAGCCCCTCCATCTTACGCTCAGGTTGTATAGATGTGTATATATGAAACCATATGCCCTAAGGACACCACAGTCTCCATTGACCTTCACTCCAAGGGATCTGAACATTGAGTACGTGCAGGGTCCCATGGAATCTCTTGCTGCTTGGAGACTGGGGTCTGTGCAACAGGATTTCCTACCTTTTCTTCCTTAGGTTTATCACTTTCTGCTGGAGATGAATGGTCCTGAAAACAAATATCAAGTATTAATGTGACACACACACACACACACACACACACACACACACACACTGACATTGTCTTTGCCATAACTACTCAATGTTTTTGGGGATGGGCGGTGCGTGTGTCAGTCTGTATTATACCTGTGGATCCCTTCCAAAACTGTGATCCTGTGCTTGTGAGGTTTAGAATCTAGTAGAGCAAAACCTGTTAAAGCAGTTCCTTTGTTAAGGAGACCAGAATGTGTGCAACAGGGTCCTTTTAGGTTTTTACCTTTCCTTCCTTAGTTTTATCGCTTCCTTCTAGAAACCAATGTTCCTGAAATCAAATACCAAATATTAATGTGCAAATAAAAATAAATCTCACAATATGACGTTGTCTTTCCCATATTTGTTCAGCACGAAGGAAGCTTTACATACCTGTTCAGTTTTTTCTTTGGCTGCTTCAGCTTGTTTTCCCTGGTGATCAGAATTAACCTCAGCGCTCTTAAAACACAGAAAAGGTACTAATATGAGTATTCCATTTGACACTTACTATATGCCTCATGGGGGGACGGGGGTGGCGCTGTGGGTAAAAGCCTCAGCGCCTAGGGCTTGCCGATCGAAAGGTCGGTGGTTCGAATCCCCGTGGCGGGTGCGCTCCTGTTGCTCGGTCCCAGCGCCTGCCAACCTAGCAGTTCGAAAGCACCCCCAGGTGCAAGTAGATAAATAGGGACCGCTTACTGGTGGGAAGGTAAACGGTGTTTCCGTGTGCTGCGCTGGCTCGCCAGATGCAGCTTTGTCACGCTGGCCACGTGACCCGGAAGTGTCTCTGGACAGCGCTGGCCCCCGGCCTCTTAAGTGAGATGGGCGCACAACCCTAGAGTCTGTCAAGACTGGCCTGTAACAGGCCCGTATGGGCAGGGGCACCTTTACCTTTTATATGCCTCATGACTGTCAGATAGTTTTTAAACTCGAGGTGAGTAATCTTTATGTTATCAGTGATCATAATTGAAACCTGTGGATTGTTTGGTGAAGTTTACATACACACAAGTTCAGTTTTCCATCAGTGGATGCGACATGTTTTGCACCAGCCTCCTAACTGCCTGAAGTTCTGGGTTTTTAAGGAGAAGACTGACCTCCGAAATCCTTCCAAAATAGAATCCTTATGTGATAAAATCAATACCAGTAATAAAAAAATGAGTGGGTATGGGATATTCTTAATTACAGAGTTCCTTTTGAATAGATTAATGTCCTCACAGCAACGGCAGTTTCCACTGAGCTGGCGGCATTACTTTGTTCTTCCAGTAACTTTTCCTTGGGTTGTGGAACTGCTCACAAAATCAACAGAACAGGAACTGCCACTCACACAACGTGGAAATTGTGTCTACCAAGAAATAAGAAACACCTTTCCTTAAGCTGCAACATGGCTGCTTTACACAGTCTCCACACGCAGAACAAAGGGGCAAAGCTAAATTTTACATAGGGTGCTGTGTGTTATTTGCCTGTGTGTGCAGTTCATCTGACACACAACAGGGATGGATCTAAAGGGCAGGTACTAGCATGTGTTGAGCATTCTGCACATGTGGTGGGCACGTGTGAGCCCGAGCGCCGCTCCTGTGTATGGGCTCCACATGCCACTGAGTTCTTATGGACTGATTCTGTAGATCAGTGGATTATCAAAGATGGAGGCCGTAATGAAAGGTTTGCCAAGAAGTGGCATAGGGATGTGAGTCTTTCTGGTGTGCCAGAGGTAGGGGGCTCCTTTAGAAGCAGTAAAAACTACAGTGTGCTGGTGCAGCATAGTGTCTAAGAGATCGAGCTATGAATCAGGAAGTCCCTGATTTGAACAACATCTCCATCAACACCTCTCTATGCTGCCTTAGGCTGTTGTCTGTGAATATCAGTTCCCACCACATCTAATAACACTGATTTTCTTCATAGGTTATACGGATTACAACTACGACGTGTATGTGAAGCACTTTGAACTCCTGAAAATGCTATTCAGATGTTAATATTGTTATTAATGCTTTGCCTTAGTGTTGTTAAACTGGATCTACTGGATTAGGGTGATCATACAGACACCTGGCCTGTGCTTCATTTTCCACAGGAGGCAAATGAGGGGATGCATTACATACCTTCTTTATTCCCCAGTCCTTCTCAACATGGCCATCTTTTTCATGGTGAATCTTGGAAGGAGAGAAAGTAGAAAAAAGAGATGATGGGGCTGGGTCTCCTGCTGTCAAGCCATTAAGTTTACAATTCTTGGCTTTTTGATTTTTTGCAAATGTACTTACTGGCAAAGCCAAGGCAATGCTGAAAAGGCACCAGCAGATCACAGCAGTCTTCATTGTGAAAGATCTCCTGAAGAAGATGTTCTAATGGTCAGTTGATAGGTTACATGTACAAAAGAAGAAAAGCTGAAAAGCTGATTGCAAACTTGCTAGAACTTTTCTAATTGGCAACACGATCACGCGCTTTCACCTTGTGGTCTACATTCCCACTGCACACTGCTCATCAGTGCCGAACCATCATCAACGCAAGGGAACAGTGGATAGATTGAAGCAAAGTAGCACAAGGTGGCTTCCTGAGAGTGGTACCTTGAAAGCAGGTGAGTGTGACAGCATTGCCCACTATGGCATTTACATTTGTTCCTTTATTGCCCCTGGTAAATTGGTTTTGCTGCAGGTGAGGTGTGGGTAAGTAGCACTTCAACAACGTACAAAACTCAATCTGAAATAATAGCAGGACAAAAGAAATGCTTGTGTGTGTGTAGACTAAGGATGTCAGAGAAATGCAATTCAATTTGCCTTTAAAGGAAAACTTAAGACATTTGCATTTCCCAAAACAGTACATGAGCTGAAACTCATCCATCCTGAGAAAAACCACATTTCCCCCTGAATTTTGCAATGCAGTTCTTCAAACGAGTAATGTATACAAAAATGCATATACTCTGGTAAAGTGTGCATATAGAAATGCAGATATTGGTGGAAATGACCTCCAAAAACGCATTGCATTAGAGAAAATTGCTGTGCATAAATGTATGGGAAATGATATATAAATATGTATATAGCGGTACCTCGGGTTACAAACACTTCGGGTTACAGACTCCACTAACCCGCAAGTAGTACCTCAGGTTAAGAACTTTACCTCAGGATGAGAACAGAAATTGCACAGCGGCAGCAGCGGGAGGCCCCATTAGCTAAAGTAGTACCTCAGGTTAAGAACAGTTTCAGGTTAAGAACAGACCTCTGGGACGAATTAAGTACTTAACCAGAGGTACCACTGTATTAGAAGGAATTCACTCTAAAATGCTGAAGATTTCTCATGAGGACCTTTGAAAATATATATCTATAAATGGATGTGGAAAATCAGAAATTTAGAGAAGCCAAAACTGACAGGTTCGTCTAAGAGCAGTCGTTCCAAAATTTACTTACATCTGAGAGTGGAGCTTGGAGCAATCTTGGCTTACTCAGTCTCTTCCTTTCTTCTTCTTCTGCTGGATGCCTACAGCCCCCTGGCATTTAAACCCTTCCCAAGAAATCAACCCACCAGTTGTCACCCATGAAGTCGAAAGGGGGAGACCATTAGCTTTCTTATCACCACATTCCCCCCTCCCCATTCAATGACTTTCAGAACAGACAAAAGCTACTGGTTGAAGTGTTCCTTATCATGATCAAGCATTTGTGTTCAGTGCTCGTTTTTTCGTCTCAGGTGGGAGGATTTAAGGGGCACAGAGTATTTCATTCAGCTTGTGTAGGAGATTGTGAGGGGCATGTTCTCTTTTGCAAACTGTGTGGAAGAGGAAAAACAGTTCTCTCTTCAGAGATCAACTGATAATTGCTCTTAGATTTCTCATGGATGAAGATATGTTTGGTGTGCTTCTTTCTGTGCGCACGAGTGGTTCATTAAAAGGACAAGGTAATCATTCATTGGCATTTGGTTTCAGTGCAGAAAAGGGAGGACGGAGTTTGGATCCCATAGGGAGGATGAAGTAAGAGGGCTGTACAGTGTAGTGCAATGTATTCACAGTGTACTGATTACATTTTTTTTTTAAAAAAACCCCACACTTCTTCAGGGCATCTCATGGTGGCATACAATAGTCTTTCCTTTCCTTATTTTTTAACCTTCAGAACAACCCTGTAAGGTAGGAGGGACTGAGAGATGGCAATAGACAAGGTCAGCTTGTAAGCATCACGGCTGAGTGAAAGGTTCAGTTGACCCTGTTGTCTCTGTAGCTCTCATTTAACATAGTACAGTGGCTCATACAGTGGTACCTCGGGTTACAGACGCTACAGGTTACAGACTCCGCTAACCCAGAAATAGTACCTCAGGTTAAGAACTTTGCTTCAGGATGAGAACAGAAATCGTGCGGCGGCAGCGGGAGGCCCCATTAGCTAAAGTGGTACCTCAGGTTAAGAACAGTTTCAGGTTAAGAACGGCCCTCCGGAATGAATTAAGTTCTTAACCAGAGGTACCACTGTATGTTGTGAAAAGTTGTTTGTCCGTGTGCCCATCTGCTGTCCATAGGTTTGGCCACCTCTCGCCAAACTCAGCATGGTGGTTCCTGAGTTGGGGTGTGTGGTCGTTTTAAACATTTGGGCACCCACCACCATTTTTAATCAAGATGGCAGACTGAAATGTGCCTTTGGTCTGACTTCGCCTATTTTTTCCCGCATAGGTGAGGCTGCCTCTTGAGATATTACACTATCCATGTAAAAAGTCACAAAGTGCTTTTTGGTTTCTACAAATTCCCGGGCAGTGCCAGACACTCCCTGCTAATATAATATAAAGGTAAAGGGACCCCTGACCATTAGGTCCAGTTGTGACCGACTCTGGGGTTGCGGCGCTCATCTTGCTTTACTGCCTGAGGGAGCCGGCGTACAGCTTCCAGGTCATGTGGCCAGCATGACGAAGCCGCTTCTGGTGAACCAGAGCAGCACACGGAAAGACCATTTACCTTCCCGCCAGAGCGGTACCTATTTATCTACTTGCACTTTGACGTGCTTTTGAACTGCTAGGTTGGCAGGAGCAGGGACCGAGGAACAGGAGCTGACCCCGTTGTGGGGATTCGAACCGCCGACCTTCTGATCGGCAAGTCCTAGGCTCTGTGGTTTAACCCACAGTGCCACCTGCGTCCCATAATATAATATAGATCTAGGCATAATGACGAGTTCCATACTAGGTGAGATGCTGAAGGCAAAAAAAGTGTCTTTGTTTTCAATGTTTGGAAGGCCATTTAGCTCAGGGCAAGGGTCCATAGCTCCATGGTAGAGCGTCTGCTTTGCATGCTGCAGAAAGTCCTAGGTCCAATCCCCATCATCTCTAGGTAGGGCTGGACCTGGGACAGACCCCATCTGAAATCTTGGAGACTCTCTGCCAGTCAGAATAGACAGTACTGAACTACATTGACCAACGTTCCTACTGTGCAGGGTTTTTAAAAAAGAAAGACATAGCATCAGTTTGGGTAGTGTGTGTAATGATTATCAGGCCTACAGGAGGTGAAAGGGTGAATTTAAACAATTCTTCCACTGCTGTAGCCCTGAAAAGCCATCTTCTGAAGTTGACCACTGAGCCACAGTCCCTTCTCATTTCCCCATCTGATGCAGGTGGAAAACTGATCAGAAGAACATCTGGGTTTACGCACTTTAATTTTTAACTCAGTGGCAGGGAGGGGGAAGTAAAGGAATCTTTAAAAAGCTCTCACATCTATATTAAGTCTCTCCCTCACACGTATCTAAATATAGAGACTGATTTGCCAAACTTGTTCCCCCACTGGCTTAGCTCTCAGATGAGCTTAAGAGGTACAGATTGTACTTGCAAAATGGGCCAGGGAGTATTTTACCACGAAATTGACAAAGCAACACACACCATATATAGAGAGATAGTCTAGTTGTGGCTATTTTTGGATACAGTACGTTTGGTATGGATTGAAGAGAAAGCAGCAGAGAGGGGGTTTAAAGGCTGCTCCCCGCTTTTACACGATTTCATGCCCAGAACATAACCCCTGCGTAAGTGGGGAGTCATCTGTATACAAGTTTGAAGTCAACAGCGCAGAATATCACTTTCAAGCCCATTGCTGGCTTTCCCCACTAGGTGGGGCTTGCTGCATTCCCAGATTTGAAATTAGTTCAATTAGTCAGAGTATTTGAGTGATTTTTGTTCTGTAATTTCACGGGCTACAGGGCTGGCACGGGGCTGCTGAATAGCAGAGGCATTTTGAGAGGGAGAAGGTGGATTTCATTTAGTTTGGTGGGTAACAACTGCTGTGGAGCTGCAACCAGCACCACATTGTTCCCTGTACAATAGCCGAAGGGGAATGGTGCCGCAAAGTGACATTTCCCCATTGCAGGGGACACAAGGCTGGCTGACAATTGCAGCGCTGCGCTCACTCCAAGCCACCTCAAGTCAGCTGTGTGAGAAAAGAGCTGCCCTGTCCTCTTGGGCTTGGATGTTGCTCCTGGATCTTCTCTGAGATCTGCTCTGGAGGCGGGTGGAACGTTTCAAGTGGGGACCACTCTATCAAAGAAGAAGAGTTTGGATTTGATATCCCGCTTTATCACTACCCTAAGGAGTCTCAAAGCGGCTAACATTCTCCTTTCCCTTCCTCCCCCATAACAAACACTCTGTGAGGTGAGTGGGGCTGAGAGACTTCAGAGAAGTGCGACTAGCCCAAGGTCAGCCAGCAGCTGCATGTGGAGGAGCGGAGACACGAACCCAGTTCACCAGATTACGAGTCTACCGCTCTTAACCACTACACCACACTGGCAAGACACCCAGAATGACCACTGACATTGGTGAGGAGTTGCTGCTCTTAACTTGGCTGTTAGAACTGTGACTTAAGAACTTGCAACTGAGGTTGCCTTGTCCTCCTCCCTTCCATTTCTTTTTTCCTTGTGCCTTTTTAGAATGTAAGCTTGAGGGCTGTCTTAATACTGATCTTTGTAAGCTGCTCTGAAAGCCTTTTTTGGATCAAGGGTGGGGTATCGATGCAATGGTGATAATGGTAAGTCCCCACTCTCAAAAGTTAAAAGAATTCACCTTCCACTTGAATGTGGGAAAAATTCCCCCCTCTTTCGCAACTACATGAATGTCCCGGTGAAAGTATGTGTGTGAACTTCAGCCAAACACTACTTTAAACCAATGATTTACCCATAACCAATTTCCTCATACCCAAATGAGTTGGTCAACAGTTATAGAAGGTTCATGTGTTTATGTGCATTCTAGACTCCATGCTTAGTTCATATCAGAAGTATATAAATTGAATATGAACTGTCCAAGCCAGGTTAGCCATTCGTCCTTTTAGACTCTCGTTGTTGTTTTTAGACTCTTGATTTCCAAGTTCAGCTGAGAAGCTCACTTGGTGACCTTAGGTCTGCCGCTCACTCTTGTCTTCCTTACAGGGTTGTTGCTATGATGATGGGCAGAATGGAAATCCATGCATGTATGCCCCCTTGGATGAATGACATAGCCAACGTAAGAAAATAATGTTTGTTTGCCTGGAGCAATTAGAGTAGAAATTAGTGTACTGAATGGTCTTTGGAGATTTAATTGTTGATTTCAAAACATGTTTTCTTTAAAACTAGGCTATGGGTGGATCTACATTCATGGTTTATAACTTTAAGGAAGAGTTAAGGAATGGTTATCACAATGTATTTGGACATACTATGTTTTGCCTGTAGCATTAATAATACATTATTAAAATGTGACACCAGACGGCGCTGCAGAGCAACCAGGGAAACTGCGTTGTTACGGAGGAAACAGGTAAGGAACGTTTTTGTTTTAACAGTATGCCCTGTGATGTTTAAGAAAGATATATTTAATATCGTTCTAATAACGGTAAAAAAGTCAGTGTAGATCCAGCTTCTGTTACGGTGTGGGATTGAAGATCTGTTACTGTTTTTTTCTTTAATTTATGCATTTGCCATGTTTCTATTTACACACCATACTTTCCCATCATACCTTGTTTCTGTACATTCTTAATGTTGGCAGTACAGAAGAGTTCTGCAAGTAATTTTAAAAGACGGAACCAACATATGAGGTCTGGTGAGAAGACCACATTGGTCTCATAGCATATAGCTCAGCGACAGAGTATCTGCTTTGCTGGCAGAAGATCTCAGGTTCAATCCCTGGTATCTCTAGGTAGGGCTGGGAGAGACCTCAGTCTGATATCCAGAAAGCATCTACACTCAATGTACACAATACTGAGCTAGATGAACCAATGGCAGAAGGCAACTTCCTATACAGTCATATCTTGGAAGTTGAACGGAATCCGTTCCGGAAGTCCGTTCGACTTCCAAAACATTTGGAAACCAAACCAATCGGAAGCCCCGTCGGACATTTGGCTTCCAAAAATAGTTTGCAAACCAGAACAGTCACTTCCAGGTTTGCGGCGTTCGGGAGCCAAAACGTTCGAGAACTAAGCTGTTTGAAAACCAAGGTATTCCTATGATAAGAACACATGCTGAGTCCTAGGCATATAAGGTTTTGTCTTTTTATTTAACTCACAATTGTCAACAAAATATACATTGCAACAGTAAATCCTTTGGTACTACAGTATCATGAGATGCAACATTCACTCTGATTGTAAAGCTAGATTTCTCTCTCTCTCTTTCTCTCTCTCTCTCAACTCCATCATAACCCCCTATGAGACAGAGCAGGAAAAATATGCAGCAAGAAGGGCTTACAGTTCTATAATGGACAGGACAGCTAGTACTGCACATTTAAGGTTGACATCCTCAGCATGTTTACCTAGCAGTAAGCATGCACCAAAATC